ATTTTTTTTTTAAAATAAATGTAAATTATGTGTTTTAAAATATAATCCTCACTTGTTAAATTTCCACAGCCATCACAAAATCATAGTATTGAATGATAACAAAAAAAAATAAAAAAATCCATTGAATTATAAAACATTAAATCATAATATTAATATATTAAATCACAATACAAATCAATTAAATCATATTGCAAATATATTGAATAGCAAAACTCCGAGTAATTACATTATTATTCGACAATGCAATTTATATTGCTCATATATATATATATATCAAAACCCAAGATCTAAATCAAGATCGTAATTCAATCCCAACAAGAATTCTTCGAAACTCATCTTCAATAATGGCAGATATATACTACTTTCGTCCAGCTCTGAAAGTCGTATTTAATTTTTTGCATGTTGATATTTGAATATTAATTATTATATAAAAACGTAGTACAAATTAAGAGAAAATTGCAAAAATACTTCTATTTGTGTCTTATAATACTATTATAATAACATTTGTGCAAAAAATTATACAAATATAAGAATATTTTTAATGTTAAATATAACGATGCAAAAGATAAATGAAACCCTTAGAGTTTGAGTAAGTATAACATTAGATTACTCGTATATCTTTTTGAACCAAAATCCGCAGTGGCGAAAAAAAAAAAAAAAAAAAAAAAAGCAAGAAAAGTGAAGAAACGACCAATATTGTCCTACTAAAGCCTATAGAGATTGATCCATCATTTTTATTTATATATTTTTTTTCAAAAAAATCAAATAATTTCCTGGTCAAAAGTTTCAAGAAAAAGGCAATCAAGTTGTGGGGATGATTTCTTTAAATTTTGGATGTTCTTAGAGCAGCAATACTTTTTTTTTTTTTTTTTTTTTGCAATTTAATTTATCATAAAGATACCTCTCCAACTGGCAAAGATTTAAATATAAGGTCACAATAAATTCATACTTATGGAAACAAAATAATTCTATGATCACATTACCTCTTGGGACATTTTCTTCAATTATTGAACCTCGATCGATCGATTTTGTGCCAACAATTATATATCGACGAAAATGGGGACAACATTTATATGTAAAATATTACTATTGTTTTTATTACATTAAACATGGGATTTTTCCGAAATTCATTTTTAAGTAATTTTCAAATTATAGATGATAGAGCAAAAGTGACTTATACACTTTGCAAAAGCAGTTCCAATTTTTATTGAGAGAATTAGTTCCGTAATAAATTCAAATATCGAACAATAGAAAATCGAGAAAAATTCAATTAACGACAACAACTACTAATCATATATACTTTTTCTTTTTCCTAAAAATAAAAATAAAAATAAATATACGGATCAAAAACATTCTCATCTAAAAATTGCAATTTGTAACGTCTAAGATCACGGTTGTGAATCTTAACAAAAAAGAAATAAAATAATACTCCCTCTGTCTCATATCTATTTATCCATTTACTTTTTGCACGAAGTTTTAAAAATATTAGTATTATATTAAAATATAGTAAAAATAAAGTAAAAAGACTAAACTAGCCTTGTTGATATAAATGTAATGACGGTTGTGTAATATATTGTAAATTTGAAAGATATTTATAATGTCAGGTAGATAGTACAGTTACTAAAAAAAAATATTTTGTTATCTGACGAACCAAAATAGAAAAATAAATAACAATAAATTAAAATTTTAAAGCAATCAATTTTATTTCATATCAAAATATTTTTCGCGAAAAGTAACGGTCAATCGAGTCGAGTCGGGTCGCATCACCAATTTCATTACAACAAGTTTCCTACTTTTTAGAAAAAGGTCTTGCCATCTTCTACTATCTCCTTCATTGTATAATTGATTCACTGAATCTTTAGGTATTTATATTTTGTATTTAAATAATTAAATATAATATTATCGTTAGAAAAAATAAAATAAAATTACATAGTAAAAAGTAAGAAGGAAAAAAAAATAAAAAAATGTGTAGGATTGTATTGGAATCTCTACACAATCAGCCTTTAGAAGACATAAAAAATTTAATTAGGTGACAATTGTCACAATTTTTAAAATTTCTTTTCAGCCAATAATTATTATACTCAATAAAACAATTATTATTTTCTAACTTTATTTCTTTCCACTCTCTCTTATGTAAGCACTTTTATTTTATTAATATTATTTTTATTTTAATTTTTTTATTATTATATATATATATATAAAAGCTGTGATCATTTATAATTAAGCTCAAAATAGTGGGCCCATGGCACAAGCCACATGTTAATTTTTTATTTAAAAGATTACATTTTTTATTTTTCTCAATTACTAACTAAAATATCTCATAAATATTTTGAACAATCACTTTTTATGATAATTTTGAAATAATCTTTACCGTCCAATAAAAGGGAAACATACATTCTCATCTGCAATACAAATAATTCTTTAAAAGAGGAGAAAAAAAAATTAGTCTTTACACATTATATAAAGACTAAAAATTATTTTTGGTCTCATTCAATATCATAATTATCAATTTTGGTCTAATTCAAAAAAATTTATCAATTTTAGTCCCAAAATGGTTGACTGGGCTGAACACGGCTGTGTTGGCTTGTACACGGCCGTGTTGGATGACTCAGAAGGTGACTCCCAGGCAGCCAACACGGCCGTATTGTTGTAATCCATGCACTTCTGAACACGGCCGTATTTCTGCCCGTGTTCTGAACACAGCTATGTTCATGTCTATGTTCTCAACACAGCCATGTTCTATGTTATGTTCTTGCCCATGTTCTCAACACAACCATGTTTTAGGCCATGTTCCTGCCCATGTTCTCAACGCAGCTATGTTCACGACCATGTTTTCAATATAATCATATTGTTGGTCATATTTATTATTATTTTTACTTTTTGGTTAAAATTATTTGATATATATATTTATAATTTAACAAAAATAATTTTTTACAATTATTTTATAATATAAAAAATAATTAATTTTTAATATTTTAAAAATATATAAAAATAATAATATATTAATATATTTTTTTAATAATACTCCTTCTGTCTCACTTACCATGTCCACATTGTCATTTATGTCTGTCCCGCATCCCATGTCACTTTCCTTTTTTGGAAAATAATTACACACTATTTTTTAATTTATTATTTTTTTAAAATTTTAATTAAACTATTGAGTTATCTTAATCTTAATTTATAAATATTTATATTATATGATAATTACTCTCACTAATACATTCTTAATTATCTACTAATTATTTTTATCTTAAATTCTCGTGTTTACAGTGACCCAAACATCCAACGTAGGATAGAAAGTGTATTATTTTAAAATATTATTTTGAATAATAAATTTAATTTATAATTTATAAAAATAATTAATTTATAATAATATTTTAAAATTTTTACTATAAATTTTTAAATATATATATATAATGATGATTATATTAATATATTATTATTTTTATATATTTTTAAAATATGAAAAGTTGACTATTTTTTATATTATGAAATAATTGTAAAAAATATTTTTATTGAATTATAAATATATATCAAATAATTTTAACCAAAAAGTAAAAATAATAATAAATATGACTTACAATATGATTATATTGAAAATATGGTCGAGAACATGGCCTAGAACATGACTGTGTTGAGAACATGGCCTAGAACATGGCTGTGTTGAGAACATGGGCAGAAACATGCTGTGTTCAGAACACGGGCAGCAACACGGCCGTGTTCAGAAGTGCAGATATTACAACACGGCCGTGTTGGCTGCCTGGGACGCCCATTCACCTTTTGAGTCATCCAACACGATCGTATTGAGTCCCAATCAACTATTTTGGGACTAAAATTGATAAATTTTTATTTGAGTGGAACCAAAATTGATAATTTTTTTTATGAAACCAAAATTGATAATTATGATATTGAATGAGACCAAAAATAATTTTTACTCTTATATCAACTACAGGTAGAATACAATATTCATAAAATTTGGTGTTAAAAGAAAATGAATGTCTTATGAATATTATTTTAAATAAAGTTAAATGTTTAATATACTATCTTCCTCTACAAATTTGGAGTATATTTATTTAAATTAAACACAAATTTAATGAAGATATTATTATATTGATTAATTTTAATACAAAATAGCACTATTTTGAAAAACCTACGGACAAGTTAATGACAATTTTTTCTTTTTTGATAAATTAAATATGTAAGTAGTTAATGTATGTTTAAAGCTACAAATAATATTAAAATATATAACTTAGCCTAAAATTTACTATAAATAAAAAGCACACTATGAATAAATAATAATAATAATAATAATAATAATAACATAATTCGATGAATTGAGATAGTAATATTTTTGGAATAAGTTATATTATACTATTGTTTAGTAATAAATAATACTACCCTTTCAGGGTAAGGATTACATTTATTTTTTGTGTTGGCCAGTGAGATGATGGGGGATAAGCTTCATCGTCGAGAGGGAAAAAGCCCGGATCACCAGTTAAAGCCCCTGAATAATCGCTCAGTGATAAATGAGGTAGTGGTGCAGAGACAAGAAGTTTGTCTAGAAGCAGCCGATCTTCAAATATTAATTATTACATAAAAACGTAATACAAATTAAGAAAAAATTACAGAAATACTTTTAGTAATATCTTATAATATTAATAGAAGGAACTTGTAACCGTGAGGGTTATGAGTTCAAAATCCAACGGCTTCATGTCAACCTGCCGCACATTGTTCGCCTAGTGTGTCTTATCTTATCAGGCCTAATTTGCATTAAGTTCGACAGTAGAATACTCGCACTTTCGAATAGTAATTGCGAGTTCTCATATTTAAAAAAATAAATAAAAATAAAAGGATATTTGTACTAAAAAATTATATAAATTTAAAAATATATTTTAATATTAAATACAATTAAACAAAAATTAATATAAGACTAGTGTACTGGGGTTCGAATATAAATAGCACGCCCCTTTCCCACCCTATAAATCCACTCCTCTCCCCAATCTTTCCCCTTCCAAAAAATAAAATCAAAACCCTTCATTTCATTACATCATTAAAAAAAAAAAAAAATCTCCTACAACTACAAATGCAGCCTATCGAACTCTCCGAGCTTCATTACCTATTCTACAACACATCCCAATTCCCTAACCAATTCAATCTTACAACACCTACAACAACAACAACATCATCTCACAATTTCCAATCCCTCAATCCTCACCCAACATGTCCGAGCACAAACTCGACAACGTCCGACGACGCTGGCGGCGAGACTGTAATAAACGAGCGAAAAAAGCGAAGAATGATCTCGAATCGAGAATCCGCTAGAAGGTCCCGGATGCGCAAGCAGAGGCACCTCGACGAGCTCTGGTCCCAGGTTGTCTGGCTGCGCAACGAGAACCGTCATCTTTTGGACGAGCTCAACCAAGCGTCCGAGCGACACGAGGATTACGCTCAAGAGAATGCGCGGCTCAAGGAACACATTTTAGAGCTTCATCGGATGATCGCTAACAACGTCGTCAAAAATGGTCCCTGCCCTTCTTGTCTTGAGGGCCTCCACGACGGCGACGACTCCGCCGACGGCGTGGGATCCGGCAATGGATTGGTTTGAAATTAAAATATATTGTAATTTGTAATTAATTTTATATTGTTGTTTTAAGTATGTACCATATGAATGTATATATATGCTTAGTAATGCAATAAAAACTTGTTAATGTTACTAAATTAAATAAATCAAGATAAAAAATGGCACACATAAGAGAATGTATCATATTCCTCTATAGTTTTAGTTTTGTTAGACACGTAATTTAAGAAATATTAATATTTGGTAAAAAAATATGGGTAAAAATTTTTCTTTTTAAGCCATGAATTTTGTGTAATAATAATAAAAAAATAAAGATAATTTTACGGTGATAAAATTATTTATAAAAATGAGACTATTTTTTTAAAACGAACAAAAAAAAAAAATAGCAGACGAGACTGTTAAATTGAGACATAGGAGGAGTATGTATTTATATGCTTAGTAATGAAATAAAATTTTATTAATTTTAATTTTTTTTTTTTTTAAAAAATAGTTGTGGGGAGTAAAATTGCAAGAAAAAACAAAAAAAAAATTCGAATGAATTAAAATGAAAAATAAATACATTTAACTTAGGATGAATGAAAATTACATTTATTACTATTATTTTTTTTTATTATTATTTTTAAAATATGTATTTAATAAGGCATGCTGTGAACATTCTGATAAAATATTATTAAAATATACGACCAAACAGAGCGCATGGGTCACCAACCTAAAACCCAACTGTCAGTTATGTCCACGTGTCAGTATCTGAGAGGCGGATGGATTATGCAGTAAAAAATAATTAAACGTGAGAAGTAAGGTGTAGCCAACAACACAGTACACAGCCCAACCATCGCCCATCTAGAAGATCGAGGATCACTCCGCAGATCAAATCCGACAATTTTGACCCACTGGGTGAGATTCGTCGACGGCGTTGAAGATTTATGTGCTGTTTCTTGTTTCTCGATGCGTTTACTTGACTAATTTTCTTCAATTGATTGCCGTCACGCGGTTGCTTTGTGCGTATTTAAAGGTGTTTGATTTGCTTCCTACGACGTGGTAATTTAATCAGCTCAGCAGACGATTAAGGTTTGGGATTATTACCTTTTGTCCTATTTGTTTTTCTGCCTGATTTGTGGTTTAGCTTTTGAGTAATGAGTTGATTCGTTTCAGTGATTTGATTTTCGTTACGGTTTTGAGATTTTTGCCTTTTCGTTGATTGATTGGCGTACGTTTAGGGTTTGGATCACTGGAAACGGCGCAATCTGTGTGATATCTGCTGCATCTCTCTGTTATAGCTTTACTTGATAGAATGCTACTTTGTAATGGCTGAAAGAAGTAATTTCATAAGAACTGTTATGCAGTTGAATTAATATCTGGTTGAATCATTCGCATTTGGTAGCTTCCATGTTTACTCTGTTTTGATAGATCTCATTTCTCGTCATGAGAAAAGATTATGGCTGAGTTTATCAGACTCGTGGATCATTATTGAATCTGTTGAACAATTTTTTGCATACAATGGTTTACATTTCATCTGAGTTTTTCAATGGTTGGAAACTTCCTTCGACATAGTTTTTTTGTCGTAGTTGAATTAGATTCATAGAGCTATGATCTGCTTATTTCGTATGGATTATTGATTTTTACTGGCATAGAATTGGTTCTTGATAACTTCTTCCAAAGGAATGAATCGATCATTTTTACACATTCTGGAAATTTGGTCAATCGTTGTAGCTCATGGCAATCAATCTTTCGATTCTCTTTGCTTGATATGGTAGTGATGAAATTGATCGTGACAAAGTTGTCTTTGACAGGAGAAACAATGGCCGGACCCTCTTCAAAACCGACAAGAATAGGCTTGGCTGGCCTAGCTGTTATGGGGCAAAATCTTGCCCTCAACATAGCTGAGAAAGGATTTCCGATTTCCGTTTACAACAGAACTACATCTAAAGTCGATGAGACCGTTGAACGAGCAAAAGCAGAAGGTAATCTTCCAGTCTTTGGCTTCCATGATCCGAAATCATTTGTCATGTCAATCCAAAAGCCCCGTGTGATCATCATGCTCGTAAAGGCCGGCGCTCCTGTCGATCAGACGATCAAAACACTCTCTGCTCATATGGAGAAAGGCGATTGTATCATCGATGGCGGGAACGAGTGGTACGAAAACACCGAAAGAAGGGAGAAAGCAATGGCTGAATTAGGCCTCTTGTACCTCGGCATGGGAGTCTCGGGCGGCGAAGAGGGCGCGAGAAACGGACCTTCTTTAATGCCTGGAGGTTCTTTCGAAGCCTACAAATACATAGAAGACATTGTTCTCAAAGTCGCAGCCCAAGTTCCCGACAGCGGTCCTTGCGTGACATACATCGGGAAAGGAGGATCCGGGAATTTCGTCAAGATGGTTCATAATGGAATCGAGTATGGCGATATGCAGCTCATAGCCGAGGCCTACGACGTGCTGAAATCCGTCGGGAAACTGTCGAACGACGAGCTCAAAAACGTTTTCTCCGAATGGAACAACGGCGAGCTCCAAAGCTTCCTCATCGAAATCACTTCCCATATCTTCGGCGTCAAGGACGAAAACGGCGACGGGTATCTCGTCGACAAGGTCTTGGACAAAACCGGGATGAAGGGCACCGGAAAATGGACCGTCCAACAAGCTGCCGAGCTCTCCGTCGCAGCCCCGACCATCGAATCATCTCTCGACTCGAGATTTCTCAGCGGTTTAAAAAACGAACGAATCGAAGCCGCCAAAGTCTTCAAATCCGGCGACATCCTAACCGAGCAGGAAGTCGACAAACAGAAGCTAATCGACGATGTGCGACAAGCCCTGTACGCGTCAAAAATATGCAGCTACGCTCAGGGGATGAATCTGATCCGTGCAAAGAGCATCGAGAAAGGATGGGAACTGAAGCTCGGAGAATTGGCGAGGATATGGAAGGGAGGGTGCATTATCCGCGCGATCTTCTTGGATCGAATCAAGAAGGCCTACGACAGAAACTCGGAGCTCGCGAACCTCCTGGTCGATCCGGAATTCGCGAAGGAAATCATCGAGAGGCAGCGGGCGTGGAGAAGGGTGGTCTCGTTGGCGATCGTTTCGGGGATCAGCATGCCGGGTATGTCTGCTAGTCTTGCGTACTTCGATTCTTACAGGCGGGAGAGGCTGCCGGCGAATCTGATCCAGGCGCAGAGAGACTACTTCGGGGCACATACGTATGAACGGGTTGACGTGTCGGGTTCGTTCCATACGGAATGGTTCAAGATTGCTAAGAAGATGTAGAGATGGTTGAGAATGGGGTAAGTTTTATGTTTTGATTGTTGATTTTTTGGAATAATGAATGTTTGATCAATGCCTGTGTGTGTGTTTGTGTGTTCTTGAGCTGAATTGAAATTTTTATGTGTTCTTTTAAGATTTATCTCTGAGATTCGATTTTTAGTTTGCATGCTTTGTTATTGCCAATTTTATAGCAATATTTATTTATCTTTTTATATAAAATGCTATTTACATGATTTACTAATTATTTTAAATTGTTAAATAATACTTCCTCTGTCCTATTCATCTTGTCTATTTTTTCATTTTCGTCTCTCCTACTTATATCTTTTACTTTCTTTTTCTTGAAAAAAAATTATACATTTTTAATCTCATTTTAAAAATTTTAATTTTAATCTTAATTACATTAATGAGTTATCTTAATTTTAATTTAAAATTATTTTTATTATACTAAAATTATTTTTATTAATATATTTTTAATTATTTACTAATTATATCCCATCTAAATTCTCGTGTATACAGTAAATAAGACATGGAATGGAAGTAAGTTCTATGTTTTGCCATGATTTGCTAGTTTATTTTTAAGTTAATTTGTTAAAATAAGTTTGCTAGTTACTTTACTGTGTGGTTGTTTGGAAGACTTTTATTATTTATTAATTTTTTTTAAAAAAATATCAAATCAAATATATATTTTTATTTTTTATATTATATTAAAAATTGATTTTATATTCAAATATCTCCTCAATCATACGTATATTCTAATTCAAAATATTTATTATTCAAATCTCAACTCAAAGTCCTAAACAAACACACCCTTAAGTTAATTTTTTAACTTAGTTAAAATCAGTGTTATAGTACCCTAATTATCGCTCTATATATATATATATATAAATTATATTTGGTGAATCTTTTTTTTTATATATATATTTTTTACTTTAGATTTGTTGATTATAATTTTATCTTTTATATGAAAACAATATTTTCTTGTAAAATATTATGGGTTTGTTTAGTCGGTAGTGTTTCCGTTATTTATTTATTTTTTATAATAAAATAAAATTTGATTCTAAAATATTTTATGATATATAATATAATATTTTTTATTACAAAGTACTATATTTTAATAACTGTTGCTGAATAAACATGTATTTTATTTTATTTTTATAAAACATTAAATCGAAATATTATTAGCTTAAAATTCAAATTTCAAAACACCAATAAAATTCCAAACCCACTTTATAAATGAAAGAGAGGATTGTACTACACAGAGCCACAGCGTTATCGGAAGTACATATAGTAACAACAAGAATATGCGATTGGATATATATATATATGTACGTTAGAATTCAAATTATTAATATTATTATTTTGGAATTAGTACTAAATAAATAATTAATTAATATTGTCTGGTGCAGAATGAGAGGCTATGAATAACTGAATGAATACTGTTGTTGACTGACTGTAGCTTCTACCTCACCTCAACTCCACTCCACTAATTAGACACTTCGAACCGTGTGTTTGTTCGTGGAATTGGATTTTAAATATATTATTTATTTTATTTTTTTTAAAAAAATATTAAATTAAAGATCTATTTTTTATATTATATTAAAAATTAATTTTACATTTAAAATATCACATCAATATCTATTTATATCATATCATACAACTATTCAAATTCATAATTTTTACTATTCAACTCAAAATTCAATCCCCCAGACAAACGCCTCGGTACCACAATATTATGTAACATTTTTTATTTTCGTTCGTTTCACATATTATATTATTATTTTTAAATATTTTATATTTTATAATGTTATCTTTTAGTTTTTATTTGATTAATTAATTATCTTAATTTTAATTTATAATTAATATTATATTATAATTAACTTTACTGATATTTTTTTAATTATTTATTAATTACTTTTCATAAATTCTATCTCCACAGTAAATGTGACACCATGACGGGAACGGGAACGTGAGAATAATATTTATAGATAATATTTTTTCAATATTATATCAAATAATATTTTTAAAAAAAACTAAATTATATCAAAATAAGTTTACATTTTTTTTTATTTTTAAATAGTAATTAAATATTTAATTTTTTTCTATAAATAGTTTGCTCACCCAAAGTTAATTTTAAATTGCACCTCAACAATTATAATAAAGAATACAAAATATTTTTTATATAAGTAAAAAGGTCAAAAGAATTCAATTCATTTCAAAAAAGTCAAATATTTAATTTAAAATAATACTCCCTCTCTCCGTTTCACATATGATGTCCACGTTTTTTTTTTCTTTAATGTAAAATTTACATACCATGTCTACGTTGTCGTTTCTGTTCGTCCCACATTCCATGTCATTTTTTTTTGGGAAAATAATTACACACTTTAATTTCATTTTAAACTTTTTATTTTTTTAATTTTAATTAAACTAATTAGTTATCTTAATCTTAATTTATAATTATTTATATTATATGATAATTATTTTTACTAATATATTCTTAATTATCTACTAATTACATCCCTCCTAAAATACCGTGTAGCAGACACGGTATGTGGGACGAAGGGAGTAATATATTATACTCCCTCTGTCCCTTAACAATCTATCTATTTTTCCATTTTGGTCCGTCCCATAACAAAGTATCCGTTTCTTTTTTTAGTAATTGTACTATCTACCTAACATTACAAATACCCTTCTAATTTACAATATATTACACAAATGTCATTACATTTATATCATACAATACTAATAGGATTAATTTAGTCTTTTTACCTTTATTTCTACTTTATCCCAATATAATACTAATATTTTTAAAATCCCGTGCATAAACAAAATGGATAGATAAATTGGGGATGGAGGGAGTATAATTTTGATGCAATTTTTCGTATAACATGCCAAAAATCAAACATCTTAAAAAACATTGGTGATTAGACCCAATAATTTTATAAAAAAATTGGCCTTGTTTTATTTATATAGTTTCAGCTGTAGTAAAAATATATTTAGTTTATTTGCTTTATATTTTTTTTATGAATGTATTTTTATGAGAAAAATAAAATATATTACATATATAATAATGTATGTATATTTTATTTTTAAATTTCTAATTATGAGGAATCATATCATCTAAAAATACAAAAAAAAAAAAAAAATTAATACAAAATATTACTAATTATTATTTCATTAAAAATAACAACAATCAAAACCTATAAAATGCTAATAAAACACACCCTTTATGTATCAATACATCACTTCGGTTGCATCGTGCTAATTTGATCCAATCAACATGTATTTATAAAAATAAAAATAAAAATAATAACACATTAATATAATATATAATAGAAATAATATATTCTAATTTCAGCGTAATTACACAATAAATATATTATATAAAACAATATAATACATATAACTTATACAACAAATATTAATATAATATATAATTTAATATATAATAATTTTATATAACACAATATATATTGATTTCAGTGTAATATATAACTCAAATAATATACTATGTTACTATATAACATAATAGTATGATAATATCTTGTAATAAGATGTTAATTATTTCAAGCTTTTATCGTTGCTGTCAATATATATATACATATACGTGTCACTGTGTGTATAGTCATAATATTTAAGGTAATAATATTTAATTAATTAATAAAATATAATATTATTACTATCTTTTTTTTAATTTATAATTAATATAAATCAATTTTATAAAAAAATGTGTAGTTTTAAATATTGATAAAAATATTTATTTTTTTTAAGAGAAATAGAAATAAAGGGGTTTTGAGTAGGTCTACGTCATTTATGATATTGTATGTTATATTGTTAATTAAATTGATTTATATTTGTTAAATATATTTTGATTTAATAATTTTTACTAAAATAAAAATGTATCAATTGTTACGGGATATATAAAAATAAAAATACTGTCAACTGCTGTGATACAAAATTCAATAAATAAATAAATAATAGTAATAGGGATTAGGAAAGTGGTAAAGTGGTAATGGTGTAGCAGCTGCTGGCCGCGGCGTCCACTAAATTAAATTAATTAATTAATTAAAACAGTATATAATTACGGGCAATGATTAGATTCTTACAAGATGTTCTTACCACTTTTTCAAATTGAAAATGATTTTTTTTTTTTTAAATATATATATATAATAATTAAATTTGTGGTGTTATCATAAGCCTTTTTTTGACACATACACACAGTCCAACTCTGAAGCATAAGTTCATCTGTTTTTATTTCTTGATGGAGAGTTTTACCCTTTGCTGTTTTTATTTATTCCATATATTTATAAAATTAAATAAAAATAATATAGCAATTAAATAATAATAATAATAATACATCAGGTTTTATTTTTTCACAAACTACTAATTAATACAATCTAATGTTTCAAAACTTTGATATATGTTTTTTAATTTGTGTAAATTTTAAATATGTTCTATATACAATTTTGGTAAATTAAAAACCATTTCAAATAAAAAAATTTAGAGAAACTTTACTAAACAAATCATATATAACAAATAATTTGACATTTCGTAAGCCTCATTAATTAGATTTCAAATAAATAATTTTATTTACCCACAACGTGTCACTATTTTTTAAACTTATCTTATTTTTTTTATAAATTTTTAATAAACTTTTTATAATATCACCACTTTATTTATTATCTATCATAATTTTATATTAAAATATTATTATTTTTAAAATTGTATATTAAACCAAACAAGCACAAAGATAGTAGGAGGAAATATTACATAATAAAAGATTAACAAAAATGAATTAAAAATTATAACTATTTTATCTAATTTTGATAAATCAGTTTTTTATGTTCTTTAAAAAATTATTAATTATTCAAATTATTATTATTATTATTATTATATTTTATTTAAGATAATTAATGAAAAAATAACACAAACAATAAAATAAAATAAATTATGAAGTATACAAACTCAAACATATATTATCCACTCATAAGTCATCATTGAATCCGTTTTTGCGTCGTCGAGCCGCCACAATGCAACCCACTCCACTATATATATATATATATATACATAATTTTAAAGTATATGAGTTGATATTTAATACAAAGTATTTATTAGGCTTTGTAAAAATAAAAATTTTATTTTGGTTAAATTTTAAAATTAATAAAAAAATAAGTATTTAATATAATAGTCCATCCGTTCCATTGAAAGGTTACCATTTTTAGATTATTATTTTCTAATTTAGTAATTGTACTACCTATTTAACATAATAAATACACTTTCAATTTACAAATGCCATTACTTTTATATTACACCATACTAATAGGGGTATTTTTGTCTTTTTTACTACAATCTAATATAATACTAAAATCTACGTACAAAAAACAAACGTCATCTTTCCAACGGGACGGATGGAGTATATGTTTTCTAAAAATACCATTCACAAATAATGTCATTTTTTTAAAAAAAAAATATGCATAAAAACAACTTTGAATTTTTTGTATACACCTTTCTATTGGATTATCGATAAGTAGGTATTTTGTAGGAATATTTTTTTGAAAATGTTATAACATGTTCCATTAAAAAAATATTTTTATTTTTTATTATAGTAAATTAACTATGTATTAATAGTAAAATAAAATTAATTTTTATATAAATTATAAATATATCATTGTATATATAACTAATTTATATGTTAAATAATTAAAAGTATTTTACATAATTATACTAACAAATAAAATAGTATTATTTTTTAATTTATTAAAAAAATCCAAAATGATACTTTGGACCGGAAAGGGAGGAGTAAATTTTAAATTCGCTTAATTGATATTTTTTTGTATATCTCGTAACAATAAATATATTTTTATTTTGGGTTAAACTTAGTAAATCATAACATATAATCGTAGAATCCACTCAAAACTCTTTTATTTTTATCTTTCACTTCAAAATAAATAAATAAATAAATTTTTATCTGCATTTAAAATTTCACATCTTTTATAAAATTAATTTATATTAATTATAAATAAATGAACATATTCTTGCATTTATTTTTATTAAAGAAAATTTTATTCTATCCATATTGCATATATTTTTTACTTCTATATAATTTTTAATATATTTAAATACATGTTCAAATTTGTTTAATTATAAAAATTAAATTTATGTTAAAATAATCATTATTATTAATTATATAAATAATAATAAAATAATATTATAATTTATTATTATTATTAACTAATTAAATATTTTTATCTTAAATATTATATCACTATTAAAATATGACTAGTGATTACCAACCGTAGAAAAATTAAAGGATATTATTACGTAAATATGCCAAACATTTTTTATATATTACATAAATTGTACACTTACCAAAACGAAAATTAAAAAAAAAAAAAGAGAAAAGATTATTATGTAAATATGCCTATAATTATTCAAATTCATTGTGTTTTCTCACAATTCTCACAGTTTAATTATACAGTTTTTATATAAATAAAAATAGTAAATTTCTGCATTGTCAGATCGCAAATTCTCATATTATAGAAAAATAAATAAATAAATAAAAAGAATTGTAAACTGGATTTGTTTGTCTTTTATTTTGATAAAATTTCAATTTGTTTTAAATAAAAATAAAAAATAAAAATACATTATTCTTTCTTTTAAACATTTCATCGAAAAATTATTTTAAAACCAAACAAGAGACACTAACAAACACTAGAACAATTATACCAAATGACTACTATTTAAATGTGACATAAATTTTAAATTAAATCATGAGTGTTGCACCTGCTATCAATAAATGGCAGTGTTTTACTAAGATAGATATATATATATATATATATATAAACACTATTTAATTACTGTTCATCTTATTATAAAAAAGGGGCACTTTAATTTTTCCCTTAACCTATCCACAATATAAACCAAACGTGTCTCTTCTGTACTTTGGTAATGTTGTGAGTGGGAACCATATTCCTTGTGCTTCCATCGAATATCCCACTAATGAATGAAGAGACTTTTGCGGAAATACAATTAATTAGTGGAATTTTATAAACAATTTTAATTTAAAAATACTTTAATTAATTAAGACTCTAGGTAGTAGGGAAGTGAGTTTTTTGTAATCTAGAGCAATAAAGAGGATACTCTCAAACTCTAAGCTATGTTGAGTAGCACAATAAAAAAAATTGCAGAGTAGATGTTGATGAAATCATATAAACAAGCAATGAAACTTTAACGATTTTACCAGATAAAGGTCTAAATTCATGTCAGGATTAATGTATTAGGGCAGATTAGTGTAATTACAAGCAATACTTTGTTTCCTTTGGAATCTGAAATTATAGGCTCACCTTAAATTTCACGTTTAAAAGCCTACTTGTGATTTTAGTTCATCACAAACCTCTTATGTAAATATAGATTTTCTATACTCTTGAGGTAATACAGAAATCCTGCAGTCAGATAGTGTGTGTGTTTTCCGAACTACCACGGCATGGTTTCATTTCTTCAGAAATTGACAAAACGCACCTAATTGACTCATCAATCGATTTACATTGCCGCAAAATCATGCAGAAGAAAAGAATCCTCCAGAGGAAAGAAGAAAAAACCTAATTCCCAAAATACACACATATAAATATGTATTTCAGTGAAACTCGGCCAAAACTTCGCGTCGGTTTCTAGGCAGTTTTCCTTATTATGATTTATAATTAGACTTTGCAAACACAGTCTGAGCTCGAAGATACCGGAATTGCCAGATGACTCGGATTCTCCTCCCCTGCCATAATCACCACAATCTTCGGCGAGGAATCAGCAACTGTCGGTGATTCCATAAACCACACCGGCTTTTCTGGCTCGAGTGCGGCGGCTGTACGGCGTGAGTGTCTGTTCCGGAAGGAACAAGCGAGCATGACCAAAGCGGCGGCGATCAGCACCAACATGAATCCAAATCCGAAGAACAGGTACGGCAATGGAGAATTCCGGTGCCAAAACGGCGGCGGTGATAGAGAGGATGGAGGAGGATTTGAGGAACTCGGTCTCATGTTCCCTCTCCCACTCTATCGCGTGCGGAAGACCGACTGATGATGTGTGCGCTCTGCGAGGAACTTGCAGATGGTGTGACGGTCCCCTCTATTTATAGGGCTGCAGAATCACTGTATTGAAAAAGACTAAACTACCCCTACATGAGCATGCCTATTGCCTGTGAGCTGACCATAATGCCCCCCTCCACAGCTTAAAATTACTGACCACTCCTTTGCCAGTGGTTACTATATATACCAATTCCAGGGTGCGAATGATTTTTGTTTCAGTTTCAAATACATATATTAATTAAATATAATTTTTAATAAAAATATATTAATTTTGTTAAAATATTATACTCAATAATATATTGTCCTATATTTTTATACGTTTCAAAATAAGATAAATTTTTTTTTTTTATTTAATAATTGCACTATCTTTCTAAAATAATAAATATTATTATTTTTATATTATAACATACCATACTTCACTATAATAGTAATATTAAAAAATTATTTCGAAAAGTAAAAAATACCACGGGATGGAAGTTGTATTAAAATTTTATTCAAAAAATGTAGATTAAAATTTTCATTTTAAATCAATTATACTTGGTAATATTATTTTTAAAAATAATACAAGTTTAAATATTTGATAGAATATTACATATAATATTTTTAATGTAGAATAATTTTTATGTAATTTTATTACATTTTAATTTTATATTTTATAAAAATATTACTTTTTCTGTTTTAATTGAAAATATATTTTTATCATTTTTGTTTTTTCTAATTTAAAATATTAATTTTTATTATAATAAAATTGATAACATAATATATCAAACTACTTTTTAATTTTTAAATAAATTACAAATATATCACAACAAATACTACTGATTAATTTATACATAATAAAGTTTAAAAAAATAGAAAATCAAAATTATCTTTTACTATAAACTTAAATACAGAAATTGTGACTAATGTAATATATTTATTAAAAATTATACGTAAGTAAAAAATTTAATTATAAAATAAAAATATATTTATTTAGTATTTAAAATTGAAATATTTTTTATATTAAATATTGATTTTTTATAAAATAATAAAGTAATGTATATTTTATATTGAAAAAATATATATATTTCAATAAATATATTCAAACTCAATAAATTTGTGTTTCTTTGGCTACCAAAAATTTAATTTTTTATTATTTAAACTTTTAAAAATATATATATTTTTTATCTAACAAAATATTATCATATATTATTTTAATACTACACTAAAAACAATTTTTTTTTAAATCAAATGATAAGAAGACACAATTTTCTAACAATGCAAAAATATATTCCCTCATTTTCAAAGAAATTGTACCAGTTTAGATATATAAAGTTTTAACTACTATATAATTAGTAAATAATTAAAAATATATTAATAAAAATAATTATATATTAAATCGAAATATTAAATAATTTAATTAAAATAAAAAAAATTAAATTTTAAAATTTAAAATATAATTAATTATATTTTTTAGAAAAATAATAAATTATACAAAAATATAAAGAATGACCAAATTAAGCAGACGACAATGTAGTATTTAAATAAAATTATAAGCTTACAAATCTACCCTTACTTGAAGGGCACGTCAGCGAGCATTTATGGCGGTCAGTAAATACGGAAGCTGTTAATTGTGCTTTCCATCAAACTTTACCTGTCCTGCCACGTCAGATATCTGAAAACATAACAGCACATCACTACACTTGCCTTTTATAGGGCAGATAAAGCTTGAATTTAATTTAAAATAAAAATAATTACAGCGTTTGGATTTTTTAAAAACAGCAATGTGATGAGTCATCGCTGTGTCAGATTACCCTCAGGGTGAGCTGGCTTCACATTATACTTGGCCCCGCCGACACCTTCATTACAAAGGTACAAATTTTCAACCATACCGTATATATACACACATATTTATTAAATTTAATGTAAAATTTACTATATAATTATAATACTTCATTTCTCGTCCAAGTGCTTATTTGATAGAGTATAAATTTTTAAAAAATAGATAAAAATTGAAATTTTTATTTTTTGGATAAAAAAATGTAGAAAAAAATAAAAAAATTACTAAAAAATAAAAATAAAAATAAATTTAGATGACAAAAAAAAGAAGTAAAAATATATTTGAATTACAGATGAAGATGAAGTAACTTCTATGAAGATATAAAATAATTTTCTTTTGAAGACAATTAAATAATAATAATAATAAATATATAAAAAAAATATACAAACTCCAAATTTGTATTTAGATCCCTCAAGTTTGTAGAAACTTCATACAAGTATCTAATTTATAAAGGAAAAAACAAAATAAAAATAAAATAAAAATTTGAGTTATAATATTGATTTTTAAATTCCAAATTTTATAATAAAGAATCATGAATTTTGAATATCCATAAAACAAAAAAAAAAAAAATAGTAACCCAAATGGAAAAACTCTATATACATTCAATTTGGGAGGGATTATTGTCTCATCATTGCTCAGTTCTATCCAATCTTATCAAATATATAGTATATATATACAAAATATGTATATCTATATAATACTTCATCCGTCTCCATAATCTTAAAAATTTTTAAAATACCAATAATATTATTTATATAAAAAATAATAAATTAATATCATAACTTATTATTAATAACTTACTAATTTACATTACCTAAAAAATCGTGTCCCTAATAAAAGGGTTCATACTCACGGGATGGAAGGAGTATATAAAATATGTATGTGTATATATATATATATATAATATCACTTTTGGTGATAAAACTATGTAGGATTGGGCAAAAATGAAGCTGATAATTTGGTGTCATTCTGTTACGTACGAAATTTAGAATTAGGTTAAAAGCCCAAGGTAAAAAGAAGAATGGGCCTAACAATGGGGTTGATTGAACTGGCTGAAGGACACCGTGAGGAAATCAAGGAAAATAGATTTATTTCTAAGGAAAATACAAGACGGAAGGTCCTCGGGGCGGAAAGACCTCAGGTCGGAAGGTCCTCAGGTCGGAAGGTCCTCAAGACGGAAGGTCCTCAGGGCGGAAAGACCTCAGGTCGGAAGGTCCTCAGGTCGGTAGGTCCTCAAGACGGAAGGTCCTCAAGACGGAAGGTCCTCAGGGCGGAAAGACCTCAGGTCGGAAGGATCTCAGGTCGGTAGGTCCTCAAGACGGAAAGACCTCAAGTCGGAAGGTTTTCAGGTCGGGAGGTCCTCAAGATGGAAAGACCTCAGGTCGGAAGGTCTTCAGGTCGGGAGGTCTTCAAGACGGAAAGTCATCAAGTCGGAAGGATCTCAGGTCGGTAGGTCCTCAAGACGGAAAGACCTCAAGTCGGAAGGTCTTCAGGTCGGGAGGTCCTCAAGATGGAAAGACCTCAGGTCGGAAGGTCTTCAGGTCGGGAGGTCCTCAAGACGGAAAGTCATCAGGACGGGAAGTCCGCAGATCGGGAGGCTTTCAGGTCGGGAAAAGGAAGAAAGGTAAGATCTCAAGAATTGATCCAAATCCAGACCGAAGTCGGGCAGACGCGGAGGTCTGTTAAGAGGAAGGTCGGGCAAGGAAGAGGTACGGACAGATGCGGAGGTCTTCGGTCAAAGACGGAGGGCGGCTGATGCGGAGGTCGGCCCAAGTGAGGTCGGGTGAAGAAGCAGGTCGGGCGAAGGACGAAGTCGGGCCAAAAGAGCGGAAGATCTGTGGTCGGCTCAAAGAGTGAAATATAAGGATAATTTTGGTCTGCTGAGGACACGTGTCAGCATGAAAAGGGTTGGAAGACGGTTGGGAAGGAGACGTTGTAACCGTTCGGGTGACGGTTTTCAGTACGGTTTCCCAGAGAATATTTAAAGGTTTGAATCATCATTTGGCAAGACATCTTCAATCAACTTCAACAAAGCAAAGTCAGATTTGGGGATCACCACTTTAAATTTCAGTCTTTTCTTTTCCAGTTTATTTTCTGTACGTTACAGTGTTTAGAGATTCCTAATCTCATGCACTAATTAATCAAGTTTAAGGATATTTTCTATATCTTTGAATTTTACTTTATTTTTGTTGAAAAATTACATCAACACATTCAATTTATTTTAAAAAATAAAATAAAAAATCAAATACTTCAAATCACCTCTTCAATAGTTTACAGAAACAGTTACTATTGTTTGATTATAAATTAACAATTACAATTATTAAAATAATTTAAATAACATAAATATAAAGTATTACTCCCTCCGTCCCACGTACCATATCACTTTTCTTTTTTGGAAAATAATTACACACTTTAATCTCATTTTAAATTTTTTAATTTTATTTTTTTAAAATTTTAATTAAAGTAATTAGTTATCTTAATCTTAATTTATAGTTATTTATATTATAAGATAATTATTTTCACTAATACATTTTTAATTACATACTAATTATATCCTTCCTAAAATACCGTATCTACAATGTAGCAGACACGGTATCTGGGACGGAGGAAGTACATGATTGGATGTAAGGCACTGAACTATATTTTGTTGTTCACATCAGTCAATTTAGTTTCAACTTCCTCGAAGACACCAAAATATATATATATATATATAATACAAATAGTTAAACGCACAATTGATATAATTGGAGTTGTTGGGAAAAAAATTAGATTTAAATTATAAAAACATTTTTTAAAAGTGTATTGGAAAATGTCTTCCACTTAAGAAAAGGTTGCAGCCTTCTTTAGACAAAATTAGCACAAACACTCTTTATTTACACAGCTTTTCAGCCCATCCATAATTTCTTACCCTAACAATAACAGAAATAAAAACAAAAACAAACACATGGTCGAGACGCCACATATTTTAACAACCAATAACATATGTCATTTTGATTAGCCGTCGTTTTTTATTCCACGTGTACTTTATGTAGATGTAACTTTTATTTACTCAATATTTTTAAAATTTGAGCACTATTTATTTATTTTTTAAAAATTATTATCTCCAATATAATTTTTATTGCACAAAAATTAGTACTTCAAACAGATGATCTATATGTTGAGTACTATTTATTTATTTATTGCATGATTTATATCTTAAATTAAAGTATATATAAAACGTGTTCTTTGTTCAAAATTGATATTTGTTTGCAAATACAGATTTAATTATACAAATTTTATATAAATAAAAAGATAAAAATATATTAAATAGTTTTTTTTAATAAAATAAATAAATAAACAATTGATTGATTTTTTATTTTGATTGTTTTATTATTTATTTCCTTCGTCTTATCTTACTTGTCCGAGATTACATGTAGATATGGAAATGTAAACAATAATATAATTAATAAATAATTTTAAAATATATTAATAAAATATAATTATCGATTAAAAAATTAAAATTAAATTAAAATGTATAATTTTAAGAAAAACAACATATTGATTAAAACAAAATGTATGAACAGACATGAAAAATATAATTTAAAATTTCAAAAAATTGTAAATATTGACGGTGTGCAACCTCAGAAAAGAAGAACACCGGACAAGTTGTCCATAATAATTAAAGGTATGTTTCTTTAGCAATATTTTCCCAAATTTTACTATTTAGACTCTATATTCCCAAAAAAAAAAAAAAAAAAAAAAAAAAAAAATCCTTTTAACTTTGTTTAAAATATTGGCTTATTTGTTTCTATTGTTTTTAGCTTTTGTAATTGTTTCTTTACTTTAATTTTATTTTAGGTATAAAAAAAAATACTACATCAATAATATAAAAATGATATTTTATATCAAATATTAGTTGTTCATAAATGACTATTATATATTTTGTGTGTGTATATATTTTTTTAATGAACGAACAAATTACTAAAAAATATTATTGTAAATTTGAATTTTCTTGGTACAAACAAAGCATTCCTCTGTTTTAGTCGTAGAATATATATAAGAAATAAATATAAATACTGTAAGGATATTGTATAGTGTATTTATTACTACTGCATGAACATGTAATCGAAGATGATAGTTCAAATTTCCGAACCTTTTATATTTTGTCTATCACAAGTAGTATTTATTATTGCTACAAAATTTATAGATATTTATACACACAGTACATTTTCTGCTCAAAATGTACAAATTTCAGAAGCACTGAAAAAATAAATTAAAAATTTAAAAAATATATAAAAATCAGAGGGAATTGGGAAAACCAAACAGTGGCTTAATTCAGTTTGAAGGAGGGTTCTGAGGCGGTTTCAGTGCGGGGAATGGCGACTGGTTTCGCGAGGTAGGTAGGGGTAGCTTCTCCGGCCATTATAACGGCTACTCGCGGCTCCATTTCGAGGCGGAGTGGCGGAGTCGGTTTCTCCGGCTTGTCGATCTCATTATCGGTAGATTCGGGTGTTTTTTTGCAGGAGCAGGCGAGGAGGAGGAGCGCCATCGAGATTACTCCTAGTAGAATGGCGAAGCCACCGTAGAGGAAGGGGATCGGTGTGTTCCACCGCCGCAATTCGACGGCGGAAGGTGCAGGGGAGATGGCGTGCTCCAGTATCGGTCTCATCTCCCTGTCGTACGCTTTCTCGCTCCTTTTTTCCTTCTGAATTTTAGCTTTTCAAATTTGTTTCTGCTTCTCCTTTTGCGTTTATTTTCTGTTCAATTTGTGCCGAGAGATGAATGAAGCTATACATGCATATATATATATATTGAGGAATGGGGACAGATCAAAGCTAATTAGTGCAATGATAGGGATAAGGATTGTTTTACAGAGAGATTCCTAGTGTATGTTGCTTTGGTGTTTCCATGGAAACGATTTTCTTCGCAGCTACTTCGTAATTTCCCACGTTTCCGAGTTTACCCTTGCCCTCGAAACTTCCAAAATCGCCTTGAGCTATCGGCGGTGCAGAGGTGGAGGGTATTCCGGTAAATCCACGTAGCTTGGAATCACCTGCACCGAGTGGGGAATTTGCAGAAGGGAAAAGGAGTGTGGAAATTTTTGAAAATTGGGCTTAAGGGAGCCACAGTGGGTCCAGTTTAAACGTGTTACTTGGGTCCAAATTATTCTCCACAACAATCTAAATACTTTTAAATTCCAAAATCATATTTAGTGGAAGATTTTAGTTTCAATTTTCAAGCTACAGAGTTCTTTCCATGGTTGTAGTGTACAAGCAATGCATTCCTTTTGAAAACTCCCTTTTCCTGCTCTTCTTTGTCAGAAAAGCAGGAATGCGGTTCAAGAACTTTGACATGCAAATCTACTTTCATTAGAGTTAGAAAAATGTTCATGATTTTGATAGTTTGTTATGGTTGTGGACTTGTGGGTCGTTTAGTGTGACTTAAAAGTCTAGATGAGTTTACTTTTGAAGCACAACATATGATATGAAAGTTGGATTACAGTTAATAGTAAGAGTTGCATATCAAAGAATACTTATATGTACACGCCATAGCCATCTTTGCTGTCTAAGCAACCTGGATAGCTTTATGAAGAACTCATACACCATACCAACCATCTTGAAGAGTTTGGCAAGTCTTTTGAAATAATGTATTTAGATTTATTGAGAATATTTTGGATTTATTATAAATATGACCTATATTACTGATTAATGAAAATACATAAATTTGTATTCTATCACTGTCTCTTTTGATTTCTTATGATCCCAGAGACCCAAAGATGACCACTTTTTCCTTACTTTTGTTTTTATCCCTTATAATCTTAGCCCTTTTCTCTTTCTGTTTGATGGTTTTTGGGATCTTTTTCTTGAAGGGTCTTCTTGGTGGATAAGAACTTGTCATAATTTGTACAGTTGTAGGCAGCAATTAGATCCTGTTGGCTCAAATATTATTGTGTGCTGTGAATGTGATGATTAAAACAGAGAATAAATAAACGATGTGGAAATCTGAGGTGGAGGATGATCATTAAGAAATGGACTAAATCATAAGTGTGCTATTAGAATATAATTGAAGCTGTGAGAGATGTTAATGGAAACGTCAGGTTGATGGGCCATCCCCTGCACTAGACTTTGCTTGCTACAGGGCTATAATTTTATCAAGCACTAATCAGGTTATTTTATTAGCAGAAGTAAATATCTTCTTAGCTTTAGAAGAATGGATGGGGTTATTATTTATGTAGCAAGTGGCCTACTTTAAGATTTGGAAAAATATGATTAGGTTGAGACCCTATGATGTGATGTATATGAGTATATCCATTCATTGTTTTGTGACGACTTGCATTTAGACTGAATTTAGGTTTAACTTCATCACACTTTAAAAGGTACTTAGCAGAAGTGGCGGATTAGTTGAACATGAACCAATAGGAGGATGGTTTTGTTTTCTTTATAAAATATGATCATGGATGTGTGTCATTAGAGATTTTCAAACAAGTGGTTGCACTTGACTATTTGAGCTTGATGACTACACTTCCAACTATGTTTATTATTATTTAATATAAATATTTTTTAAGTGAAAATTTGTGTAATAATTTATATGAATAATTGTGCGTTTGATATAATGATTTTTTTAAGTGGAAAAAGTAGTGAACTGAGTAGTAAAAATAAAGCTAAAAAAACAGACAAACAAACTGATATTGTGTTCTTTGTTTTAGATTTTAAGCTTGAATATTTGTTTATGTTTTGTTTTAGATTCTAAGTGTAAATTTCTGTTTGAACATTATTTTTATAAAAGAATAATATATTTTTATGAAAAATTGTGAGAATTGAATTAAAAGAAATAATCATTTCAGGGAATAGTTTGGTGCTGAGTATAAGTAATGTTGAAATGAATGTGCATATTTAGGGTATGTTGTAAAATGGGCGCCAAACTCCCAGTTTTTTTTTTTTAATTATAATTAAATGAAAAAATATATACAATATATATGTCATTTTGTATTTTGTAGAAAATAAAATTTTCTATAATACAAATAAATAAAAATTTAAATATATATATTGGGTATAATATAAATTCATAATCAAATCATGCAATATAAATTGTATCAATTAAATTTAATACACATTTATATTATTTTATTAATTATTCATCAAATCATACATCAAAATTCCCCAAACTCCAACTAAACCCAAACACAAAAGAAACAACAAAATCCAAACTCATCTCAAAATTCAAATAAAAACCAAATCCAAACTCAACTTTCCCCCCAACATTAATTCAATAAAATTGTCAATATATGTGGAGTAGTTGAAGACTCTCAAAATTGAAACCGACACTGGGTAGCAACTGCTGGTTGACCAAAATTATTAATCCATTATTTAATATATATATATATATTTATAAAATATTGTAAAATTAAAATTAAAATAAAAATAAAAATAAAAACAAAACAAATTCATGATTAATTAAGTAAGACCATTGTTGTTATGTCTCTATTCCCTATAAAGTAAGAATTGTGCAGTTAGAATTTGAAAAGCAAACGACAATTAAGTGTATGATAATTTTTAATTAGCAGTCTGTAATTTTTGATATAACACATACTAATCTGATGCAAAACTAATACTATATTTATTAATAAAGAGTTATATTATAAAAAATCTCACGTTTTGCTATGCATAGATTCTGTTTTATTACCCATGAAACATGGATGAATACTTGCTTGCTACTATATGTGCTGTAATAATATATAGTTGAATGTTGTTTCAACATAAATAACTACAAACTTCTTCATAGGTAGCTAGCTAGCTAGCTATCCTTAAAAAACTAACATAGCTTGTCATATAACAGAATTAACAACATTTGCAGAAAACAGAAAAACAACAAAATTACAAAGAAAGAAATCCCCACATTTCCACACTCAAAACTATGAAATAGAAACACAAATTTCATCCATCTCTTTCGTCTCTCTATCCTATCTTCTTCTTCACTTAGAAGAGTGATGGAACTATGCCATAGGTACCACCAGCACCACCAGCAGCAGCAGATTTAGACATCCCAATTCCAGGTTCAGCCACCATTCCTACAATTCCGCCGCCGTCGCCGTCGGTTTCCCGCTTGGCGAACCGCCCTTTGATCCTCGGCCTGACCTCCGCGTACGCCTTCCTCGACGCGTACCTGATTGTCTTCTCGAACTTCCTCGTCTTCTTTTTCTCCCTGTACCTCAGAACCCTAGCCTCCCTGTCGTCCGCGCTCAGCTGGCCTGAGGGCATCATCATTTGGACATGGCAGCCCGTGAATAGATCGATCGTCCCTTTCAGTGCCCTTCCTTGGGAGATGGCCGCGGTCGATGCCTCATTTGTAGCCGGCGATGATGCTTCCGGAACTATCCCGACATCCATCGACGAAAATGAAATCTGTTATCCCCATCGACATAACATGATTCTAGTTAGTATTTGATGCAATCTTTTTATTTATAGATCAATCGGAAATGACTTACGTTCCGAGAAACCGGAGCGGTGAAACCGTATCCAATGTTGGGGCCTTCGTATTGGTCGGGAACCAGACACTTTCCCCGGAGGTCCTGTATCGGGACGACGCTGTCGTCGCCGCTCCCTTTGTGAGGAATGCCGGTAGTGGCAGTGCCGAAGTATTGCCGTCCCGGCTGGTTTCCGAACTGGCAGGAGTTATTATTACTATTATAGTCGTCGAGGTCCAAGTACTCGTCGACCACTCCGCCGCCGAACAGCATGTCCACGACGTGGTGGCTGTTCTTCTGGTCGGCGCCGGGGAGAAGCCACAAGGTGGCTTCGTCCTCGTCGACGACAGTCCGATCGGTCAGGAGCTTGTCGTCGTCGTCGCTGCCGCTGTCCATGGCAATGGGGATGCGGTGGTGGCGGCAGGCGAGAGGGTTGGCGGAGTGGATGTCGGAGTCGCAGGCGGCGCAGAGGGATGCGTCGTCTGCCTTGCATAGGAACGCCGCCGGGAATTGCTCGCAGGCCTGGCAGAGCAACGGCCGCCGGCGGGAAGGCTTCACGGCGGCGGCGGAATTGAGCTCGAACATCAGGCCTGGCCTGCGCGCTGTGTTTTGAGGAGAGCCGGGAATGGTGTATATGGTGAGTGGCAGGAATCTCTGGGGCGACACGTGGCGGTAAAATACTGGTTGGGAGATGGTGGGGAGTGAAACTGGTGGCTGGCGTTTCCAGCGGCTAGATGCTCCAGAAGGTCCATGGACTTCCCTTAAAATTTTGACACGTCAAACTACTCAGAGGGGGACCCGGAGCTCAACTCCTACCGTTCTAGGTTAGGGGTTACAATGAACTCGGGAGTTGAGATCCCGGGAGTCACGAATCCAAAGAAATTCACTTACGAGTGAAGTAATCATGAAATGATGATAGAGAGAGAGAGAGAATAAGGGTGAAAAATGGACAGTGGTATATTCTGGATGGAACGAGGATTTTGTTAAAAAGGACAATAGTATTAAGAACATGGTGATAGTGTGGACGTGGGTGCAATGTAAGCCCCAAAAATTAAAATTAAAATTCAGAATTAAGAGAGAGAGTATGAACTATGAAAGGAAGCTCAGCCACCAATTGGGAAGAAATGTTTGTATCAATCAAAATGAGTGTCCAAATCAAGTGGGCTTTGTAGCCCCAAAAAAGGACCACTCCTACATGGCGGGCAAGGGCAGGACCCTCCATAATAATAATAATTAAGTTCAGAACTCCTCTAATGATTGACAGACAAATAAACCTTTGTAAGAGATCATTTAAGAATTGGGGGCAATAATATTTAACCCAAACTGTAGATAAGCTTCATTGTATATTTCGCTACTGAACTGATAGGAGTGAAAAATAGCACATACAGAAGAAGAAGTTCACACGCTAGCAAAGCATATTTTTCAAGACAACAGTGCTAAAAAGAAATGATTTTGAGAGTAGCTGAGGTCGCTTGTAATTTTGATGTTACCTGGTATGGTATTATCCGCTGAGAATTAACTAGAGCGCCGTGCCTCCGCCGTCCGACATTAGAGACGCAGCTGCCGCTGCAGCAGTTGGAACTACTCCGGTCTTCACACCAGGTTTCGATAGATGGAGTAGCCTGAGAATATACGACAAAGAGGATTGTGTCATGTAACCAAGATTCAAGTAAAATAACTAGGTCAGGTCCGAGGGTCGGGAAAGCTGTAAGAATGAACCTCAAAAATTGAATTTTGATCAACTTTAAGTATGACAGCCTCAAGTTTCGAAATAACTAAAACAAACAAGATATACAAATTTGGCATAATTCTAAATGGGATGACCTTTCACATAATCAGTTCGAAATTTCAAGAAAATTTTCTGCAATCACAAATATACCTAAAAACATTACGAAAGATAACGTCTATGACCAAATATACGAGGCAAACCTAGTAGCATGTATCATCAATCGAAAAGGACATACACTCTTGCAACCCAAACGAAAACCAACAGAAATCTAATAAATGAAAAACTTACGGAGCAAGATATTCACAAAAAGATGACATGGCTGCGACAACTTCGTTGTAGTTCTCGGATGACGCAGGAGCAGTGACTTCAACCAGCTGTATTCCTGGCATCACCGGTAATGCTTCATCGGTGGCATGTAGTTTCGGCATTTTATTAATTGATGAAACCGTGACGGTTATCTGAGCACCCCTATGGAAATGGAAGGCAAACCCCACTCTTAACAGCTCATGGTCTATCTTGTATCCAAGAGCATTGAATAACTTGAGAGCATTTTTGCTTACTTTGCTTTCGACCATAGTCCTCACCAACACCGAAATTTGCTCAGCTCCGGCACCCCTCATCGCCCCACCAATGTGTCGAACAGTCCTAATAACTCATAAAATATTCAGCATTTGATGCCTTTCTAGCGCAGCCAGTAACATAAAGGGTAGATGATGAACCACTCACTTACCATGATGGTTCTGGCTGCTCAAGATCACAGAGGAGTCGGACGTCAGATGATACCGTTCCTAAGAGTGGAAAAAACACAACACAATGAATCGTACTGTAAAATAAATAAGCACACAAAGTAGCAAATAGAGAATTGCCTTGATTGGCATTTCACCCCTAACCATAACTTACCCGCTGAATCTTCAATATAAGTCGATTCACCCTCCACCCCCTTTCTTGGGGATAAAATACCAGATCATAGGGCGAAACCGAAACTCGAACAGAAAATCAACATAAATAAGTTTTTATTATTATTCTTTAGTTTAATTGTTAGCATCTCCAATCCCTTCGTTCTATATAGAGAATCGACTTGATTTGCGTGTCACCCCTAACCATAACTTATCCGCTGAATCTTCAATAAAAGTCGATTCACCCTCCACCCCGTTTCTTGAGGATAAAATACCAGATCATAGGGCGAAATCGAAACTCGAACAAAAAAAAAAACATTAAAAAGTTTTCATTATTATTCTTTAGTTTAATTGTTAGCATTTCCAATCCCTTCGTTCTATATAGAACAGAGAAAGACTCCTTCCATTTTACAGAGGTATAATAATATTTAAACACAACGAATGGCAATGTAAAAATACATAAGCAATGTATAACAATCCATTAAACACAATGAATCGCACTATAATTTAATCGAAATAGTTGTTTGGTGACGTGATCTTTGAATGGAAAGTAAAATTTGAAAGTAGTATATATCAAATGAAAAAGAAGTGTCTATTGTAATATTTTTGGAGGGGGATATATTACAGTAGATGAACAGTGAAATTGGATTGTTGGAATCACAACCAAACTCTCTATGGCCTAAATTATGAACACTTGTACTTATATGTAACCATTTACCATGTTCTTATCTGAATTTCGATTAACACCGAAAATGGATGGATGAAATCACAACCAAACAAACTCTCTACGGCCCAAAGTAAGTTCGCATACTTGTAATTAAAGGTAAATCTACGGTGTGCTTGTTTGAATTTCGATTTTATTTTCACACTATACAGATAGTATGTGTTCCACCTAAAAATCATCAATCTAAAAATAAAAAATAAAGATCACATTCAAACCCATTTTCATTCAAAAACGTATCATCCAACAAGCCTTCTCCATTTAAAACATAATATCTACAGCATAATGTTCACCTGAAAATTTTCAGATCCAAAACAAACAAATCATCCATAAAACTGAAAGATGAAGAGGAATCAATACCAAGATTGGGGACACTTTTCAAGCACAATTCATGAGTTCTCAAACTCTCTCGATGAACTCCACAGAGTCCTTGAAGAAGGATTTCCAGAGCCTCAACATGCTGCAAATAAAATATAATCATTTTTTTTATACATCGAAGATGCGTTATCAAACACGAAATTCATCAAACAACGCGATACATTCATTTCAAACCATAAATAGAACTTCCAGAACAAAAACGCGAATCCAATCGTTGAAAACTCACTACTCAACCGTAAAAATAACTGCAATATTAGGTGGGAAAAACACCTGGAACTAATTGTTGCAGAAATTCACCTTAGTCTCTATAATACCCTGAACCAAGCATTCCATCTTAAGCCAGAACTTTCTTCCTCGATTAAAAACTGAAGAACATGTCAATGAAGAATATCTGTTGAATCAATCAGCTAATTCCCATCGAATGCAAGGATTTCCTTCCTGCGATCGATTGCATAAGTTAGGGTTTTAGCTGATCAAACTGGAAACGATGCCAATGCCACTAGTCAAAAATATAGAGACGCAGGCTCATATGGGCCTGATTATTTCGCCTAGGCCCAATAGGCTTAATGTATCTATGTACTTATTGGATCTATAAACTTTATTGGGCTTATAATAAAGCCCATTAGGCTTACATATAGAGTAGTCTAGTAATTATTCTATACCCATTAATATTTTTTTCCACTCCTGCCCATTTTATCGCATGGAGAAAAAGATTATTTAAATTAAGGGAGCTGCTGAATTATAAAAAATAATATAGTTCATAAATTATGTTGATATAATATATATTTTAAGGGTGTTTTTGTTTGAGGGTTTGAGAATATAAATAAGAATTGATGTGATGTTTTGAATGTAAAATTAATTTTTTTTATATAATATAAAAAATAAAAAATAAATATTTGATTTGACGTTTTGGAGGGAAAATTTTGTGAGAATAGTAGAAATTCCATAAAATTCCTCAAACAAACACACCCTAAATAAACTGACCTTGCACGAGATATGAACATAATACACGAAATAAAGATAAATAATATTACCTCTGTCCTTAACAATACGCTAAACCTTACCAATACCCTACTATTTACAATATATTGTACAAATATCAAAATGATTTGACATAATAAATGTAACACATAAAATAATTTTAACAAAATATAACATAATATTACACAATAAATGCTATAATATATTATAAATAAAAATATGTAATCCCGCAAATTTAAATATACTAAATAGCTGTCCCGTAAATATGTTCCGGTGGTGCAGTAAGTGAACTTGTTACACCCTCCAGGTCCGCCTACTACCTAATTTGCATTGTCGGGTCTTGCAGGATATTAAACAAAATATATATGTGTGTATATATATATTATAAGAACTAACAAAACAAGGCGCGCACACACCCACACTTTCGGAGTAGCTTGCACATAAAAAATTGAAAATCATGTAATCAAATAAAATTAAATACAACAGAAAAGAACATTGAAACAAGATCAATACTATATACAGTAAAGATGTGAGATCAAAAGCTCATTGAAGCTTCAACTAATATATCTTCTTCAGCTTCCTATCAATATATATATATATATATATCCAAAAACAAATCAAGAAAATTTAGGTTACCTTCCCATTTGAGAAGTTTGCCATCTTCGAATCACTTGTGGGACAAACACAGTAATTATCCAACGAGCCGAGACACTCTCGTCACCTCGGCCCGGAGAGCTCGATGGCTTGGGCGAGCAACGACGAGTCGTCGGTGAGGTCCGAGTACCGTTCCGACGAAGAAAGTTCCTGCGTTTTCACCTTGTGCGATTCGACTCTCTGACTGGCCTCCCATCGCTCCGCCAGCCCGTCTCCCTCGAGCATCCGCACCACTTCAGACATCTTCGGCCTCAGCCCAGGAAGATACTGCGTGCACAGCAGCGCCACTTTAACCATCTCCTCCAGCTCGATTCTGTCGTAGCTATTCTTCAAGTCTTTGTCAACGAGATCCTCGAGTTTCTTCTCTTGGTGAAGCTTCCTCACCTGAAAAGAGAACAAATTGTCGATAAGAAAAGATCGGCACTTTTGGATAATACGGTCGCGTGCGTTTAGTTTTTGCTTACCCAATCGAGAACGGCGCCTTTCTGATTAGCCGACTTCCCGAATTGCAGCGCCCGTTGTCCCGTGATCAGCTCGAGCAGAAGGATCCCGAACCCGAAAACATCCGTCTTCTCGGAGGACTGGCCGGTCGATAAGTACTCTGGGGCGATGTGCCCCACGGTTCCGCGCACGGCAGTCGTTACGTGCGAGTCCTGGTGATCTAACAGCTTTGCCAGCCCGAAATCGCCGACCACCGCCTCGCAGTACTCGTCGAGAAGTATGTTAGCAGCCTTGACGTCGCGGTGGATTATTTTTGGATCGCACTGTTCGTGGAGATACAGAAGACCCCTCGCTGCTCCCAGCGCGATTCGCTTCCTCGCCGCCCAGTCCAAACCCGGTTTCGCTGTTTCAGCACAACGAACGATTTACGTTTATACACGACCGGCGAAGCGATGCCGAAAATGGATCGAAATGTACGGTGCAATACCTTTGAGACGGGTAGCGACGCTTCCATTCGACATGTAAGGGTAGACGAGGAGCTTCTCGGTCGGAGTCATGCAGAAACCATATAATCGGAGGAGATTGCGGTGGACGGCGAGGCTAATCATCTCGACTTCGGTTTGGAACTGCCGCTCGCCTCCTGCGGTGCTTCCGTCTTTGAGTCTCTTCACAGCCACGGCCGTTCCGTCGTGAAGACTGCCCTTGTAGACGTTTCCGAACCCGCCCTTGCCGAGGATGTTCTTCGAGCTGAAATTGTTGGTTGCGAGCTGCAGTTCCCTTAACTGGAACTTCCTTAGATTTCCGAGCGACACTTCTTCGTGACGGCGATCTGAAAAGTTCGATGCAACGGATATAATTCAGTTCGCAATTTTTACATCGAACTATTTCGAGCGATGGAAGTTTTGAATTACGAACCATTGACGTCGAAGAACTTTTCCTGCCTCTGCTTATGTCTTCGCCACAGAAACAGCCCGAATCCGGCGATGAGGAGACAGATGCAACCGAGGCTTACCCCGAATGCAAGGGCTAGCTTTTTCCGTTTTGGTTTTCCGGTGACAGCAGCTACGGAGGAACACAAATGTATTTCATAATTACGATAAACATGAAACGTAAGACAAGACGAAGAAGAAATCGACGGAAAAATTAGGGTGCGGCACATACTTTCTGTTGTGTTCAAGGTCATTGACATTGGCATCAATGCCATCCCGCCGGTGCACTGTGGCTCCGATCCCCTCTGGCATATCAACGGATTCCCGACTATGCTGCAGAAGAACAGAACAACTTCAGCCTCTAAGGACTTCTACAACAACATGCATATGCACTAAACCGATTCGATAAGGGGGTGAAATCTTACTTAAACGTCTTTGAAGGGAATCGAGGCACCGGGCCACTCAAGTTGTTGTACGAAAGGTCCCTGCAATCGACCGCTGTAATTCAGACATTTCGGCCGATAAAAGCGTAACTTCATAAAGAGGAAATGAATGAAAATTACACTAGTGAAAGCCGGCTCAAATTGGTTAGGGACGCAGGAACCTCTCCGGATAGACTGTTATTGTTGAACCTCCTGATTAAAGATAAAACACAAACCACAACAAATTAGATTGTCCTTTCAAAATCAAAGCATATCACCATTTGTATCCATGGTGTAGTTTTGGGCATTTACATGTATTGCAGATTTCTCAAGTGGCCTAAAGAAGGAGGAATGGTGCCCGTGAAGAGGTTGTTCGAAAGATCGAGTGTCTGAAGCTTCGACAGTCTTTCGAGCTCCATTGGAATTGGCCCAGTAATGTTATTGTTCTGCAATAGTCTGTTGCAATATAATTACATCAAAACAGCTTTTTTCTCGAAACATCAAGATCATCGTAAAAGAAATGATCTTCACTTACATTATCTGGAGATTGGTCAAATTCCCAATGCTTGGGGACAAAGTGCCTGATAAATTCTGGCTAGGGCTCCCTCTGCACAACACAATCTATCAACCAAATTAACATTTGATGAATTGAAGGAAGAAATTTCAAGATAGTGGATTAGATTCAAGAAAAGGGGGATTGGTTGCTTACAGGCCAATAACAAGATTCTCAGAAGAACAAGTGACCATTGTCCAGCTACATGGATCAACAGCATCACCATCCCAATTGTCAAGCACCCCATGAGGATCCTTCAATCCACTTTTTATACCCATCAAAGCTTGAACTAAAAGAAAATTCCCAAAATAAAGATTCATCCATTTCACCTCAAGAAATGCAAGAAAACCATATATGCCACAACCAAATAATCTCTCAAGTTTTGTCTCTCCTCTCATCATATTGTGGACATGATTATTAGCTTGTAAAAACCTTACCTTCAAAGTTGACACCTTTGGGTGAAAGCAGAGCAATGGAAGAACCCCAAAAGGATAGAAAAATCATAGCCCTGATTGCTGCTGCAGCTTCCATCACTCTTCTCATTTCCCTGTCAGGCAAAAATAAGCAAACAAACACCTTATCTCTATTTGCTGTTGATGAGGATATTATTCAGCAGTCAAGCTCTCAGTTCTAATAATCTCTAGATCAGACCACAGCTCTTGCTTGCTATGCCAGAAACTCATTTTTTCACAGTCCAAGAAAAAGCTATTAGGGTCTCTTGTGTGTGTGTTGTGTAAAGAAGACTAGCATGCCTGTCACGGGTCAGGACCCTGTCAAGAAAAGAATAAATTTATTTTATTTTTCTCTCAAGCAACAAAAAGTTAAAGGAGATGGGATAAATTCTAGTAAATGATAGTGTGTGGCATATTTAAAAAAAAAAGGGGCAATTTTATTTTCTAATATTCTTCCAAGATTTCAAATTTAGAGCCAATAAAAGACAAAATAATCCAAATATCATAGTGGGCCAAGCCAGTCATTAGCTAGGTGTTTTATTTGCATCGAAATATGTAGTCTGGGTAAGTACAACTTAATCTTGTCATTATCCCACTGAACTTATATGTAATCATACTATACATAACACATGTATGCTTACAATCCATGGAAGCTCCTGGATCCCAGCACCAGCTTGATCCACACGATCCACAGTCCATCTGGCTATGAGAGTCCCGGGAGCTCCCAAGAATCAGGCCATGTATTATAATGACAAAGGACACAGAGGAATCCAACATTCCCTGAATTTGGCCATTCAAAAAAATCCCAAACTGTTACATATATTTAAAGAATGTTAGAATCTCAATGAAAGTTGCTTTGGTACTGATAATGGTTTTGTTCACCCACCCCATGACCATTACCATTATCCCCTAATCAATCACACAGGGAAAAAAGCTTTTGTGTAATAATTATTTTCCCTATCACATGAGGCAAAACTGAAAGATTGGCTGTCCCGACAAAATTTTAGGAAAAGAAAAGAACCCCTTATTTCAAAAAGAGAAATGCTTTTGGAAAGTAAAGCTGCCCATGCCCATCTCTCCCTCCACGCTTCCCCCCTTTCCTTTCTGTTAAATGATGAAAGGGCAAAACAGTGCTTAAGCTTCAGCCCCATTGCCAGGACAGTGACAATAGTTTTATGATTATGGGCAGACAAGCTTGTCTCTTCAGTTCTCTCTTTAGCTCACTTTCTTGCTTCTTTTTCTTTTCTTCTTCCCTTCCCCACACCCCCTCTTAAAATTTTGTTTACTTTAGGTGGGCAATGGAATCCATGAGAAACTCTGAAATTGTGCAAAATTTTTCTAGTGAGAAGAAAATGACCAAGAAGGTTACAGCAAAACATAACAGAGCCCAATATCTGATTAAGATAAAAGAAGGAATTGACCAGACAGAAAGGTAAAAAACAGTGTGTTTTTTAAATAATAGAAATGAAATGACAAGAAAATCCCTAGTGGTTTTCCCACGGATAGATTTAAACACAGCTGGGGATAATTGTCCCCTTCCTCCTAAGATCCCCACTGACAGCCCATAAAATCAGGCATTACTGTGTGTGTTGAGTTAGTGGTGAATGCTTTGGGACCACCCATCTCTCCAAATCCCTGTACATATATGCTCTAATACACATATTAATGAACATACTTTGCATTTTGTTCTCTCTCACATGTTTTAGGGCCTTTTTCTATTTTCTTTTATTTAGAGAGAGAGGAAAAGATGAAATGCAAGACTACTCAACCAAGAAAATAACATATCAAGCCAACATGGGAGGCAAAAACATTATAAATGGTCCTACATTATCTTTGATGGAAGGAACAAATTATCCCATAGTCATGCTCTGGAATTCTTTTCCAAGGATAGATTTCTTACCTAGCATAAGTGTGTGAACAATGACCATGGGATCCACCTCCTCCACGTATCCACAGTGCTAATTTGGCGCAGTGGATTAATGGGGAGTGAGTTCCCAGGAGCCCCTGAATAATAGTAATTTACATATGAAAAAGTCACATATATTTGACCTACAAATGATCTTGCTTACCTAAGAACCTCCAAGCTTAACCTTAATTTTATCAGTCTTGAATAAGCAGTAGAATCCCATTTGTATTTAGCATTCAATTCTGGTCCCCTGTCTCTGCAATCACACCCTCAGAAATGTAGAAAGCACTCCCGGGGTAATAGCTACTAATCATCACCCCTTCATTGCATTTTGTCTTGCTGACAGAGCACATATATCATATCCTTTTTTCACTCAGTACAGTTTGCATTCCTGTAACACTACAAAGAGGATCACAAATGTGTCAAACACAAGACTCCAAGTCAGAGTTTCTCAGGCCCATGTAATGAAATAAATGAATTTTGATGTGTAGTGTCGAAAAGATACCTAATACAGGATTGTCGAGTCACCATCATTGCGTTTTGCTCATGGAAGTGTCTCATTCACTTGAATCAGCCATATTGGTGTCTCTGGAACATATTGACAAAGAAGGCCATAACAGAAACAGACAGAACCGAGATGATCGGTCTTTTTCCCGGCTTATCACAATCCGAGCGCATAGAGATTTATTACAGAAAGAAGAACCATGATATTGTCGAGAGCTGATACTCTCAACTATTATTCTACGGTTCAGAAAATTCTTCCAAGAATAAACAACTTGGTGTCATGCTCCTCCTCCCCATGACCTGTCCTAATAGCTTGAAATGTAAACAACTTCCATACAGTATCTAGAATAGAAAATTACACAAGCATATGGAATAGTAAATAATGCCGATTCAAAAACCAGAGAACCATCACGGATGAAACAACAGGGAAATGATGTTATGGAGGAGGAAAAGCCATATCTAGAAAACATGAACTACGCATACAACAATAAGCCATGATAAGAAACGCACCAAACTATGTCAGAAACTGAGGTGTGTAGCTTTATCGATTAAATCATATCAAAAGATGTGTTCAACGAAATAAATGCAAAATAAACAACAAAATTTGAAGACAGAACGAGATATGGCGTCTAAGGAAGAAACAAGTTACATCAAACATACTACACAGCAGCAGATGATGGAGTCCTGTTTGAACCAGATTTTTGAAGACTAAAAAGATTCAAGATATCAGCATGATTCTTAATGTATCTGGGGCATCTTGAGAGGAAGTCTTGGGCTACTTTTTGCCTTCCGGCTTTGAAATATGCCTCGAACAACCGGATGAACACAGATTTTGATGGATGCCGTTTGGATGTCATGGATAGTGAAAAGGTAACAGCATCTTCAGCACTCCCAGTCCTTGATAAATACTCGACAAAGGAGTCCAAGTCTGGAGCAAATCCATGATTCTTCATCAGATTCATGACATCCAGAGCTTCATTGAAATGCTTTTTTCGCAACAGCTGGCTCGTCAATGCTTTGTATGTTGCACACCAAGGACGTAAACCTTTGTCATTGACCATCTCCACAACAAATTTGAATGCATCCAGTGGATTTTTTTTCCCAAAGTCTGAATTAACCACCAAATCTAAAGCATGCCCAGCACGAGATCCCCCTTCCTTCGCAACCATCTCTCGGATGCTATTACACGCTCCATCCAGATCATTCCTTGCACAATACCCTTTAACTAAGGAAGTCCAAGTCATATAATTCAAACCATCCAGAGAAGACACTGCATTATCCGTAAACTCATGTACCGCCTCTGTTGTTCCACCGTTGCCTAGGAGGAAAGCAATCTTACTTTTTAGTGGAACACTTGGTTCATAACCAGCCTCCTTCATTGCTGCCAATATCTTATTGCACTCTGGCATCCTCCCAACGCTAATTAAAGATTTGATAATGGATTTCAAGTGAGAATCAGTCAATTCATTTCCGTTAGCTTTAAAGATGCTCACAACTTTGGAAAACAAATCCATATCCAGTTCCTTGCTAACAACTACTTTCTTCAAAAGTAAAGTGCAGTGCCGAGCTGTAGGCTTGTTCTCACCAAACATAGCAAACTCATACAAATCAACAGCTTCTTTCAACATTCTATTCTTGACAAACTGCAGTGAAATGTTTAAATACGTATGTCCTTCCATCTCATAACCCCGACTCCTCATTTCATCTACGATTCTCCAAAATTTTTTACCATGATCCTCTTTACCCAACACTCTAGCCATCACGTCATATGTTTGCTGATTGTGCTTAAACAAATCACTCTCCTGAACCCACCTGAAGAAGATCAGTGCTTTGTTGGGATCCATTTCAAGACCCTTCAACACAGCAACGACTAGATCACCTGTAAACTTCACACCCAAACCACGCAATCGTCTTTCTAAATCGTCGCCCCAAACTTCACTAAGAATCATTTCACTAATTCTAACAATTTTGTCTTCTGTTTTATTCTCTACAGTTTCACTACTTTTCTTGCAACTAGCTGACCCAGAAGCATACAAATCCTTCAGTTTCTCAATATCCTCAGACAGCCCATCATTCTGAAACCTTTCGAAAATTTTATCGTATGTGCCCTTCGACACTCCGTAACCCTTCTTTTTCATACTCTCAATTAGATCCCATGTTTCAGTAACAAATCCATTGCTGCCTAAAATCCCGAGCATCAAATTATAAGACTTTGAGCTCAATTTCTGGCTATGATTCTCCAAAGCCCAATCAAATATACGTTTGGCAACATCAGGGGAGGTATTAGCATTTCTAAGAAGACTCAAAATCACATCATGATCAATGAAAACGTTCTTCGCATCTAAATCCTGCTTAATCTCGACATTAGACTTTCCATCTTTACCAAAATAATCAACTAAATTGACCCCTGGATCAGACAGGGGTTTCGACGGCTCGACGTCGAGCTCAGGCGATGCACACAAACGACGAATTGAGGTAAGCGCGTGAGGTGCACGGTGGTGGAGAAATGTGGATGCGAAGGAGCGAACTTGGTGTACCTGAAAAATGTGCGGCTCGGATTGTCGGCGGGAGTGGCTGAGGAGCAAACGCAAGCACAGATTCCTCATAGTAGCGGATTCGAACAGGATTTGATCTCTTTCGACCAGTTTTGGTTATAGAGAAGACGACGGAGATTAGGTTAGGGTTTTTGGAAAAATCAGAGGTTTTGGAAGGCGAACAGAGTGAGCTCTCAGAAAACTGAAATGACCAAAATACCCTCCAAGCAGAGGGATTTTTTTAGTATAGTTTATTTTGCATATACATTTTTATTTAAAACATCATGCTGATATAAATAATAAGCAAAATTGTTTGTAATTTGATGTGTTTCGAAATTCAACTTAAATTCTTTGCGTATTTTATAATATTTTTAGGCAATTTTGTCTAAAATATATTTTCACTGTCCTGAATATGACATCACCGTATTGTATACACAAATTTAGAAAAATTATGATTAAAAAATAATAAGTTAGTAAGAATATAATATAATTAATTATAAATTAAGATAACTAATTAATTTAATTTAAAATTAAAAAATATATATTATAAATTATAAAATTTAAAATATAATTAAAATTTTTAAAAAAAAAATGACATAAAATATATGATTAACATAAATGAAAATTGCAACATTATTAGATGTGGAATAAAAGAAATATTAATCTGTGTTGAATTATTAATTTTTATAAATAAATAGAGAACATATATTTATTATATATTATGTGTTAATATATAGTATTATATTATGGGTAATATTTATGAGTATATCATTAAAAATTAGTTGGTTGAATAAACTCATAATACTTCTTCCGTCCCAAAATTAAATATTCATTTTTTTTTCATGTAATTTTAGAAATATTAGTATTATATTGAAATATAGTATGAACAAAGTATAAATGACTAAAATAACCTATGTGATATAAAGGTAATAGCTAATATATTGTAAATTGTAAGGGTATTTTTAATGTTAAGTAGATAATACAGTTACTTAGAAAAAAGGAAATTGATACTTTGTTATGAGACGGACTAAAATGAAAAAATAGATACTATGGAGGGAGTATTAAAAATGGTGAAACATGAAAAATACTACTAAGTATTAATTTGGTTATATTTGATAAAAGAACCTTCAACTTTGTTGTTTTCAATAAAAAAATTAAATATATTTTTCAAAAAAAAAAATATTATATATATTTTTTATTTTATATTATCTACCCAATTTGTCATACCTGACCTAAAATATTTCAAAACACAATGCTTCATCTTTCATTTGCAAATTATTTAGACGGCTATTTTAACAAATTTCTTAAGAGATTTCTTAAGAGATATTTATCAAATTATTTTTTTTACTTTTATATTATACTAATTTATAATTCTAAATTCATAATATTGCATTAGAATATATATTTATAGTTTATCTAATGTTATTTAAATTTTCAATTTAATTATTTAAATTTTAAATGCAGAACTATAATTTCACAAACAAACATGCTTATATGGTTTGAAATTTTGTTTAGTATTTTCATTTGAATTCTTTTTTTTATGGGAGGTATGAAATCGTGTCGGTATTATAAAAAAAAATTATATTTTACATTAAATGATAATTTTTGTGAAAAATCGTGTCGAAAATAAAATATTGAGCAAACAAATCTTTAATTTTTTTAAAAAACTATAGGAAAATGTGAGCTAGTGTTACATTTGAATTTAATTTGTTAAAAAATGTATGTAGCCTTACAATTTTATTTTTATCATTATTCTTGCATTGCAATTAATTATTTTAACTTTTATTTTAGTTTATTTTATTAATTTAAAAGAGGGGTGAAATCTTATAAATAATATTTTCAATTGAAATATAAAAAGTACCTATTAATTGTGTTTAGATCATACTTTGCAAATAATCAAATTTAAATTTAATTTAATATTTTTTAATAACATTCAAATTTTATATAATATATTAAATAAAAAATAAGTTTCATTTTATAATTTTAAGAAAGAATACAAATAATAAAAAACTCAAGGCAAACCTGACCCAAATGGCTCCCAAACCTCCAATACTATTGGAATTATTATTTTTATATTTTATATTAAAACTAACTTGAGCGTCGGAATTTAAACTAATGACTTTACGATCACGAGTCTATCTTTATACCATTGCTCATTTGTACTTTATGTGTGTATATATAATAATATATTTATAATTTATATTAAAATTAAAAATATTTTATATTAATATATAAATTATTATCGAATAGTGAGGTGGATTTACAAGTTATATATATATACACTAGTGTTTATTATTTGTATTTTAGTTTAAGCTTTAAATTATTTTATGAATATATATATATAATAATAAAATTTGCATAACATTACATTTTATATAGTGTGTTTGGTTGGGGTTTGGATTTTGAGTTGTGATTTGAATAGTAAAAATTTTGAATTTGAATAGTTGTATGATGAGATATAAATAAGTGTTGATGTGATGTTTTGAATGTAAAATTGATTTTTAGTATAATATAAAAAATAAAAAATAGGTGTTTGATTTGATACTTTTTAGGAAAAAAAAATTAGATGAACAGTGTAAATCCAATCCAATCCAATCCATGAAACAAACACACCCATAAGATCTTTTGTCTTTCAATCAAAATTAATACTTTTACTACCATTGAGGATGGTAAAAGCAAATTGAAAATGCACTAACAAAAATAAATAAATAAATAAACATCAAATTTGATTGATCAACAGATAAGCAATTTCATTTGATTGAACATCATCAATATAGAACGTAAAAAGAACAATAAAATTTATCAATCAACATAACAATAATAATAATAATAATAATAATAATAATAATAATAATAATAATAATAATAAATGTCGTGTCCTCACGATTATCTATCTATGGATCATCGATATAATATAATATTTTTTAATATATATATATATATTTATTTGTATCTTAATTAATGAATTAATTCGTCTATTTGTTGATGCCGGTGGCATCCTTGACGGCGTCGGCAGCGCCCTGTGCCTTTGCCTGCACCTGCTGTCCGGCCTAAAAGAAATAAATAAATAATTAAATTAAAAAAAAAAAAAAAAACGGAATGTAACGGATCGGGTCGGGTATAGGGTCGGGTACCTGCTGTACAGAGTCCATGGCGGAGTGGGCAGCATTGGCAGCCTTATCCATCAGCTGGTTGCCCTTCTCTTGAGCTTGCCCCTTCGTCTCTCCTGCTTGGAAACTCTTTTTTGTTGAATGATCCATCTTCTCACTCTTATCAATTTAATTAATTAAAAATTAATTTTAATTAAACAATAATAATAATAATAATAATAATAATAATATTTTATGTGGGTAAGCGTAAGAGGATCGATGGATACATTTATAGGGTTGGATTATTGCAAGGTTTGAACATAACATACATCGTAACATTCACCTATTCACGGCTTTGTCGCCATGTGTTTGGTCACGGATTAATACAATATATAGTATAATGTATATGCTATTTACTAAAAAAACAAACACATATTATAATTAACATAAAAAACACATTAATTCAAAAATACAAATTGAATACGCCCATATGTTAATATAAAAAAGTGCTAGAATTTTGTATTAATATTACTTTTTGTAAAAAATAAAATATATATCATATATATTGAGAATGGTTTCAGTAAAAAACTTATTCAGTTTGTCTCACTTAATTTGTCTATTCTTTCTATTTTTATCAATCAACATAATTTTTTTTTTCGAAAATATAATTATACAATTTAATAACATTTTAAAATTTATAATTTATATATATTTTTATTTTTATTAAACTATTCAGTTATTTTAATATTAATCTATAATTATTTTTATTAAATTATTATTAATTTTACTAATATACTTTTTAATTATTATTAATATGCCATTCCTAAAACTTTTTTCATAAACTTTATTATATTTACCCTAAAAAAAATTAGTAAATATATTAAAAAAAACAGTTATTTTTCTCAGTTTATTTTTACTATTTTTTTTAGGCTAAATATATATAAAAATAAATATATTTGTAATTTAAGGGATTTAGAAATTGAAATTCGAAAATTTATTCGTTAAATAAGGGATTTGGTGCAATTTGAATTTAGTACATTTAACCAAATATGTTTTATAATTGAAAATATAAAAATAAATAAATAATTTCAATTGGACCTGAATATAAAACAAAGCTAAACCATATTGTGCAAAATTCAACTCCATTTACTTCCCAATCCAAAGAAATTATTTGGAAGTTCAAATTTTAAATAAAAATTAAATAAATCTTTTAGAAGTAATATATATAATTATTTACCATCTCCATAATTTTTCTTCAAATGTTCAAACAAACAATTTTTGTACTTCAAAAGTGCGCTCTCTTATAAACAAAAGTTTGAACTCACCGCACCACCATGCACGCCTAACCTTACCTGATAATATACTCATTTCCTAGATAAATAGTAAAATAGAATCACCAAAGTAACAAATTAAAACAACAATCCTCCAAATAAGCAACACCGCAAGCAAGCAAATATTATTGAAATAACAAACGAGCGAGCAAAAGCAAGAGAAGCATCCCACCAACTCAGGCTCCGCTCAATAGGTAGCAAAACACAGAAAAACACAAACTTATTCATCTTACTAAAACAGAGTACGAACGAGATAGATATCTCATTTATTTCTTCTCAATTTCCTCATCCTCACTCTCACTCCAGCAGCACTGCAGAATCGACACCGGCGACGCGCAACCCTTCGTGCTCACAAAAGTGCCGTAGGTCAAAGATCCTCCCCCGTCGCCAAGAACTTCACAGCTGCTTTCTCCAAGGGAATACCCCTTAATGCCCAGGGACGGAAATACCGATCCAAGTTTCTTTCCAGTAACACAAGAGTGCAAAGCAACAGAAAACTTTGCCGGCTTGAAGCACGCCAAGACCCTTTCCAGCAGAGAACCCAAGTCCACTTTCGAAAAATCGTAGCCAACCAATTCAAAACTAGCATAGCTGAATCCGTCCTCAGGTGTCACGTGAATAGTAGATATTGCACCACCTTCAATGGCATTCATGGAGTAGCCACAGGGATCGAATTCGAAGTCACAGATATTGGAGTCAGGAAGGATCTTGCGGATGCCGGAAGCTTCAGTCATGGCAGCAGCAGAGCTGGATTGATTTTTGAAGAACACAGAAGCCCTCTCCTTGTCGAGATTAGTCATGCACATCTCCAGAGTATAAACAGGGTCGGAGTCATCAGCAGTTGCGGCACAAGCAGAGTAAACGTGCCATTTCTCGACTTCATCGGCACCACCCATCTCGTACGCCACGCTCTTCAGACCAAGCTTGGCGAAATGCCCATTAAGAATATAGACTTCTTCTGAGAAGCACCGATGGGGAAATGGCTGAGCGCCAGGGAAGATGAAGCTTCCACGAGTGTATCGAACAGTGCTCACAGTCAGTCCAAGTGTTTCAGCCATCTTAAGGACGGGCGGGATCGAAAGCAGTAGTTTAGTGGTGCCACAGGTCTTCAGGATGATCTTGTATGCATAGACAAATAGGCTGGACTCCGAGAGGACATAAGAATCGACTTCATCATTCTTTAAGGAGGAGACAATAGTGCATTGAGCTGGCTCCAAGATTTCATCCAGCTGGGCTTTAGAAAGCAGTCGGAGGCCACGGCCTCCAGGATCAGAAAACAGACCAGGCTCAGAAAAGGAGATTTCAAGCCTCTTCTCATAGCCTTCAAAACCAATTGCAGAGACTGGGGGGGAGGCCATTTTGAGGGAAGATTCTCAGGGAGAAAGAAAAGGATGAGGAAAGCAGAAGAGAAAGAAGAAATTGCACAATTTTAAATGTAGGGCTAGGCAGTGTTGCTATGGAACCACCGGAGGTGGCAATTATGGTAGCTCAAAGGAAATCTCAGGATGGTTTGCGAGCGCACTGCAAAAAAGGAAATTAAGTAAGCAATGAGAACAATGGTCAATAAAAGAAACACGGAGAACGTGAATTTCTCAGAAGACTAAGCAAAATAGTGTACTCACGTTGGAGTAAGCAGCAGATCTGAACTTCTTGATTCCTCCGTGTGGGCGAACGTCTTCAATGCTGTATCCAAGGGGTGCTTCGTAGAATAAGGATTTACTACTGCTAGACTTCTTCTTACCACCCTTTGATTCCATTAGATCATTCACTTATACCTGGGGAGAAAAGAAGATAAGAATTCAAACTACATTCACAATCAGGAATGAAAATCCATCCAAGTCAGAAAGGAAAACATTACTTCAACGAGTAACTTCTGGGTGAAGCATAAACTGCACATACATGCAACGATGGAGATCAAACGCAAGACGCAAAAGGGATGAATAAGGTCTCAAACATGGACAGCCTCAAGACACAAACAAAAAGGTTCACATCCTCTACAGGCAAATCATTTTTTCACGGATCTATATCATTCATATTACATATAGCACGCCATAATAGACAAATCTGCCAATATTATTTCATTATCTGAGCTAAAGGCCAAAGGATCGCTTCATACGTGGGGGGAAAAGAAGACAATCATCATCCCACGATCTAAACAACAATATCCAACAATTGCTTTACATGAATTGAATAAATAATAATGATGTCCGAACAAAGAAAGACATAGCAAAAGAGATGAGAGAAATCCGACGACTTACAGATATATAAAATTGTATCCGAAAATTCCACGAAATAGTCAAGATCCGAATTCCGCTTCAAGAATCAAACCCTATCAACACAAAAACACAACAATCTCATCGCCAAAATTCAAACCATTCACACAAAACAAAGCAAAACAACAATCCAATCCTCAGGAGTCCGAATTCAACACAAAAAAAAAAAAAACGATAATAATCTCATTCCCCTAACACGATTATAACCGATGAATCTATATCAAAAACAAAACAACGAACAAGCATATACAAAGCCTTACCAAATTCCGCTTCCACAAACAAACCCTATCAACACAAAAACACAACAATCTCATCGCCAAAATTCAAACCATTCACACAAAACAAAGCAAAACAACAATCTAATCCTCACGCAGTCCGATTTCAACCCCAAAAACAAAAAAAAAAAAAACAAAAAAAAACGATAATAATCTCATTCCCCCAGCACGATTATAACCGATGAATCTATATAAAAAACGAAACAACGAACAAGCATATACAAAGCCTTACCAATGGATCACCGCGGAGGAGGCTGTAGGAAACAAATCTAGGAAAAAAATCGAAACCCTAACTTTTCCCCTTCTTCCTGAGAAGAAACGTGAAATGAGAGAAAATCTCGAATCGGTTAACCGTATGGAGCGAATTAATTGTGAAAGTGAGTAGGCGTGAAGTCCTTTAAATAGGAGAGAAGGAAAGAAGACCGTGGAAGATTCGCGTGCCACGTGTCCAATTTACAACCGCTAATTTCGAAAAGACCATTTTGCCCCTGACACGCATGTGGTGTGGTGCGCATCACGAAACGAGTATGGAAATTTGATCCGGACGGGATTCCTTCCTTAACCCTAATAATTACTTGTAGATACTCAATATTAAATATATAAAATTATAATAATTACTCGGATTAACTTTATAAATATCATACGATACAATGGATTTTATATACATAATTAAATAAATTTGTAATTTGATTTAATTAATTCCTATACAAATCTTTTTGTTACCATTTTTTAATTCCATAGATTTCTTGTTACAACGACACAATTTTGACATCACATTATTGCATTGATTTTTATTCCAAATTTTATCAATTACAAATAAAATTTATCGGTTACTAATTAGTAGAAATTAGGACTTGATTCGGATGACAATCCTAACAATATGAAAATTCAAGTGCAAGTTAAGCAGACTTATGATATAAAATGTCATTGTTTAAAATTAGAAAAGAACAGTCATTAATTATATGTTCGCTTATTTATTCCAAAATTTTCATATTTTTATTTTCTTTTATTTATTTATTTATTTTTTTCAATTTCTGCATAATTTTTCAACCTTTGTTTTATTCAATTTCAATTATTTTATTTTAGTTTACACATTAATTTTGAATTCCTATCTAAAAAATTATTTTTTTTTCCAAATCATCAAATACAATATCGTACACAAATAATTAACTGAGTAGGTGGAAAAAAAAATTTCGTAATGACTTCCCATTGATTAATTGAGCAGGTCGAAAAAAATTTAGTAATGACTTCCCATTGACCAGAGTCCACCTGTCGTCAAAATCAAATTTGCAAATCACAATAAAAATATGACATTAATATTTATTTATATTATATTATATACTTCATCCGTCCCACATAAATTGTTCATATTTTATATTTTCGTCTCTTCCGCATAACTTGTCATTTCATTTTTTTGAAAATATAATTATACAATTTAATTACATTTTAAACTTTATTTAGTTATCTTAATTTTAATATGTAATTATTTTTAGTATACAATAATTATTTTTATTAATAAACTTTTTAATTACTTATTAATCATACTTTATCTAAATTTCTGGTGTCTACGTTAACACGCCCAAATTACCTAAGACGGAGGGAGTAAATATCTTAATTTAACACACATAACCCAAAATATTGTCTTAAATATTTATTTAGCCTGTGTTTCTTTAGGGGAGTTTGTTGAAAGTTGGGTTTGGTTTTTGTTTTTATTTGAATTTTGGGATGAGTTTAAATTTTGTTGTTTCTTTTGTGTTTGGGTTTGGTTGGGGTTTGGGGAGTTTTAATATGTATTAATTTGATGGATAATGAATAAAATAATATAATTGTGTATTAAATTTAATTGATAAAATTTATATTGTATGATTTGATTATGAATTTATTTTATACCCAACATATATATATTTAAATTTTTATTTATTTATATTATAAAAAAATTATTCTCTACAAAATGACATATATATTGTATATATATTTTTTCATTTAATTATAATAAATATTAAATAAAAAGATATAAAGTTTTGCGTCCATTTTACTTTGCAAAGTAATTGCAAAATAAAGTGAAGCCAAACCTCCTCCGAGAAACATACCCTTAATAATGAATAAGATATTGTTAGGCCGAATTTTGGGCTAATCATAACCAACCAGCCTATGGAGTTATTAAAAATAAAAAATAAATTGTTTTTAGATAAATTTATTTATTTTACTTGTAGTACATGGAATCTAATATAAAAAATAATATTTATTGTTGGATTAAAAATCCAATTGTGGGTTAAATGTAACTATTTGGGCTATCAGTCAGATTAAGCCTATATTAAGTGATCTATTAATTTATTGGGCTTAAATGTATTTAGTAAGTGCGGGCCTCCAATGTACAGAAACCCGGTAACTTATTAATTGGGTGATGAGGCCAATTAATAATAAGGGATATAAATAGGGTTGTGATCCCAGGTCTAGACGCAACAACCATTACGTTCCATATCTCATCGTGGGAGTAACGGCAGAAATCCTAGCGGTTTTCTCAGGAGGGGTTGCGCCATAGACTTGAAGAACACAAAACCCTCAATTATTAGCATATCCGTACTCGACTATACCAATGGAATAAGGTTAGATTTATTTTACTTTATTTTTATCTCAATTATGACAACACGGTAGATCCTGGGCTTAGGGTTAAATTCCTGATAAGTTCCAACATTTTTATGTTGAATGATTGACATATTATGGATAAATAATATATGTATTATATTAACGTGTGTATATTTATAACTTTTTAATAGAAAAAATATTGAGTAAACATATAATTATGTTTAATTATATTTTCGACCTTATTCACACTATTGATCAAGTAAAAATGTCTTCAAAATACTCCATTTCTTTGCCGAAATTATTATTATTTTATTATTATTTTTGTTTGTTCTATTCAAAACTATTTATTTATTATTATAATAAAAATGATTACACTAATATAAAAAATATCATTTATATTTTACATAATTTACCAGCATATTATTATAGTTACAATTAATTTATATGTCAAACTATAATAAGTAAAATGTCATAATTATCTTATATAATTTTACTAATCAATAAAATAAAATATAGTACTATTATTTTTAATCTATCATAAAATCTCGAAAGGATGGAGTATATATTTATTAAAATATTATACGATAGAAAGGACACTTTGATTTGTTTGGTTTGTGTTTTTTATTAGTACAATTTTCACAAATATTTTTTAAAAATAAATTGTAATATATACATAAATTAATACAATATTCGTCCGGCTTTAAGAATTCATTTACTTTTTGCGTATTGATATTTGAATATTAATTATTATATAAAAATATAATACAAAGCAAGAAAAAATGACAAAAATACTTCTATTACTATCTTATAATACTATTATAATGATATTTTTGCATAAAATTATACAAATATAATAATATTTTTAATATTAAATACAATGATGCAAAAAATAAATTAGACTCTTAGAGTCAGGGAGTATATTATATGCATTTTATTCACTCTTTAAAAGACAATATTTTAACACAAATTTTTTTTATAGTATAATATAATTTATGGTAACTGATGTGATATGAAATTCAAATTTATTTAAAAATATTAAATCAACAAACTCATTCTATAGAAATGGTTATATTAATTTAAAATAATAAAAAAAAACACACATTTTAAAATTTTACAAACTTTTATGCATTGGAATTTGAAAATTTCATAAAATTTAAGTATCAATAAGCACACATTTCCCATGTTTTCCATTTTAATTTATTATTATTTATTATTAAGTAGTTGCTAAACGGGTAGATTCTGTCCATGACAGAATAATTATTAATTGTGTATTAATATAGTAAAAGACTATTATATTCATATTAATTTATTTATCTCTACTTATTAAATATAAATGTTATATTTTTACTTTTCATACTATTAAATTTTTTTTTCATTGAAAATATAAAAAGTGTTTTCTCATTAATTGTAACACTTATATTTTTCTTAAATAATTAACAATTAATAGTAATTAAGGTATTTTATATTTTTTAATAGTAATTAACAATTAGTTATGTAGTTTTTTATTTGTTCAATTTAAACTAACACTTAATATAAAAAATGTTGTATACGATTTATTTGGTAGTGATTTAGAAGAAAATAATCAATATGAAGATTTTCAAGCGGATAACATCGTGAATAAAGATATTCAAACGCAGGCTCTGGTTGACCTAAATCCCGAACTTAATGAGAGAAGATTAGAGACATGTGAAAAATATTATTGATAGTTAGATATTTTCTCTTCTTATTTTATTTTTTCAAATGCATATATAAATATTATATTAAAATAAATAAGAATAAAACATAAAAAACATCATAAAATTTTTCTCAAAAAAATAACTAAACACACATTTTACATTTAATTGTTAGATTATTTTTATTTTTTGTCAATTTGAATTCTAATAAATTCAATTTTATAATTGTTATTAAAATAATTTATCAGAATTCAAATTGACAAAAAAATCTAACAAATGTAAACCTAAAACAATATGTTATATGTCAAAAAAAATAATATTAAATGATAAATATATAAATATTAATAAACTATATATGTATATAATATAATACTATTAATAATTATACATTAATATACTTTCATATTAATAATTATATCTCGTACTTATAATTAATTATTATTGATGAAATATATAACAATCATTTGTGTTAGTATAATTAAAAATTTCTAATGAAAAGTATAAGAGTATATAAGAGTCTTTCACTAATGACAATAATTTATTAATTATTATTTTTAGTATTTTTGGCTAGGCAGAATCTGCCCATCCAGAATTAGGGTCATTATTATTATTAATCTCCTGTAATATATATAGATACATGAATTTAAGTAAAATATAATTAGTAAGTAATTAAAAAGTGTATTAGTAAACATAATTATATATTAAGATTAAGATAACTAAATATTTTAATTAAGATTAAAAAAAATTAAATTTTAAATTTTAAAATATGATTAAAGTGTAATCAATTTTCTTAAAAAAAAGTGTAAATTATGTGAGACGATCGAAAATAAAAAATAGGGACAAATTATCTGGAACGGAGAAAATACTTTATTTATCACTCATCTATTTTTTTACCTTTTTCTTATATTTATAATATTAGTATTATATATATATATAATACAAACTATGATAAATTTTATAATCCTATTAATAGTGTGTGTTAATTATATAATATTGATTAAATAGAAATAATAATTTTTGTATAGTATATTGTAGGTTGTAAAAATTATTGTTAATATTAGATAAATTAATAATTATATAAAAAATATATATATTTTGAGACAAATTATGAAAAATGAATA